CATAGATTGAGAAAATCATTAAACTGCATCAAGAGGCAAGCGCTAACTTGGAATCCTGAAGGGAAAAGAGGAAGACATTGTGCTGAAAATTTAAGGCAGACATCGAAATAATAAACAGAAATGGGAAAAACACTGGGAAAAAGGACCCTGGATAGATTTCAAAAGCGAATCCCGGTGGGCGGTCTATGCCACTCCACAAGGGTTAGCCGGCATAAGTAGGTAAGTTAATAATACGCAGGTGGGTGTAACTAAAAGATTTAAACTACATTTGTTTTATTATTATTCATTAATTTTAATTTAAATGAATATTATTCATACTTATTAGTATTAAATCGTTTATGTATGAGTATTTCATCTGGTACTTGGCTATCAGGTTGTTGGTCATCTAACTTTTGTTCATTATGGGCTTTGGTTATTTATTCGCATTTATCCGCAATTAATTCAGACAATCAATTCCACGACCAACACTATCATACAAGCTTTCGTCCGTTATATGGCATAACTTCATCTCTCTCGTCACATATACCATTTTAATACCTAGTGAGTTTTATTCACTTACTGCACTTCATGTGATCATTGCTGACGACTAGCGAATAGTTTTTAAACCAATTTCATTCAATGGAAACTTTCACTTTAATCATATCTCTAATACTTCCTGTTCTTTTTTCTATTCTTTATTATCTCTTCAATTGCAATGTTCGAAATAGTGTTTACTGTTGTAAATCTCAGGAAGAGTCAAAAACTATTATTAGAAATTCTCAAATCTCCATATACAATCAATAACTATTCCATGGTGAATTTAAGTCAACTTTAAGAGTCAATATATTCACCTACCATAAATCAATACCAACTCTAGCATATTCTGCTGAAACTTTCTAAAAAAAGGAAACCCAAGGTTACTATCAATCATATAAGTGGTCTTTTAATTTCTGTACATTAAATAAAATTGCAGTTATATCATTATCATTTCATTCGTCTCAGTTTTCAAACTTTATAAATTGGAGAAAATCAAAATATTTGATGTATGATATTTTGAATTCACTATATCTATTATTACTTAGTGATACAAACCAACTTTATTGCCATTTCTATTAGTATTTCATTTTAATCGGCACAGCTATATGAATGAATGTTCCTTCGAGTACTTCTACTAGATTAAACATGAAAAGGCAGGTGTTTTCAAATGTTCTGATTTTTAGTTTGATTTAGTCCTCAGAGCTAAACAGAATAAATTCAGAGCTTTCATTGTTGTTCTAAACAATATCATTAAGACTTCGAGTAGAAACGAGCATCTCGATTATTTAATAAGTAACAACATGTCTTGTATTAGTGAAATTGTCTTAGTGTAGATCGACATAAATCTAATTTGTCAGTCTATACGAAAAATGTCAACCAGTCACATGGTCACACGTCGATTGAACAAAATAGCTAACAAGAACACAATTGATTGATCACTGGGTGGTGATCAATGTCATGCTTGTCTAGTCCTTATTAGTGCAGATCGAATGCTATCGATCATGTTGCACCCACCCAGTGATCAATCAATTGTGATTACATCTCAGTCCTACAGGGGGTTAGTCACGGCTCGGATAGCTCAGTGGTAACGTCTCTGACGCTTGTAGTATAATCAAAATACTCATTTTTACATTAATGAAGCGCCCATGATATCCATAATGACAGCTACAGCTTCTCAATAAAACCATCCAGCTCACCTTTTCAAAGTGAAATAAAGTAACCTTAATTACAATTTACCAACCTTATTTTCGTTTAATCTAAGTTTAGTTAAAGAAAACAATTGACTTCTTTCTGATTATCAGTAGAAAATTATATACTTCGAAACTACCATGAATATGTCTTAAGCATTTCTGATCATTCAGTTTAATAAACATTCAAATTATACATGATATAGTACTGGATGATGTTGAATATTGATCGTTCCTCTTGTGCACCCCTTCGAAAACTTCTCAAGGTTACTTAGAGTATTTGTATATGTTTTGGCAACTATAATGCATTCGAATGAAAATTTCATGGGGTATATTGGGTTAAACTTATAAATAGTAAATTGATAATTTGTATTTTATATTCACAACCGGGATACAGAAAATGTTGATATTATATAAACCCCCGTAATAAGAAAAGTAACAAATATTCAATTGAAAACTATTTATATCACACAAATTGACAATATTCGGAAGTCCAGTAAAAAAAATACAGACCAACCGATAACTCTTTGATGTCAGTTTGGCGGAGTTCAATCCAATTAATAGTCAGAGAAAGACATAAAGGGTGATTTAACTACAAAGATGGAGTTCTGTTCTCTGAGCTGGATGGTTTGGTCGTGGAGCTTTTATCGTTCTTCTGAACGACATCATCAGCACAAACTTCAGATAGAAGTGAAGTGTTCGAATTTCTCCATATGTGTCTCACAGCTTGTTCTGTACACCTCGACGTTCATTGGTTCTTATTGACCTTAAATTTGTCATTGTTTATTCCTTTGTTTTGGCTGTGTCTCCCATTGGTTTGATTTTCGTTCCTGTATTTGTGCATGATTTTCCTGATCGGTTGATAAATTGGATTGATTTCAATATGTTTGTTGATTGCTGATTGACCTGAGTGCCAGGCTTCTAAAAATTCTCTGTTATTTTTGGAATTTCTTCTGTCCAAGATTTCCACATTTTTCCAATCGAATGAGTGCCGCAGTTGTCCACGTGTATTGATATAAGTGAGGAAATATCATGACGTTTGACTGCTAATTGATGTTCATGTAGGCAAAGGTTAAGATATTATGTAACTTGTTACTGATAACCTGGTTCATATGCTTAAAAGTCTACTATTCGATCAAATCATTTTATACCATGACAACTGATTTGTTCATGATACAAACATTCACTTTTAATTCGATTAAACTTTACAAGTTACTACCTACATAATCATAATTAATTACATGATTAATGTGAATTTGAATAGTTCGTTTATTTATGGTTATCTTATAATAAAAAAAATAAACAATTATTGAGTGTTATGTGATTTTTACTAAGTCTCCAACTAATATTAATCTATATATATACAAAGCATTTTGGTATAATATGAGTACCATACAGTGAATAGTTCATTTGTCTTCCACATTCCTTTATAATTTCTTATTTTGTTTTTTTTCACGTTGATCTTCCTAGCATTCTGCTGAGAGATATCTCACTTTCAATCGGTGTTACATACTACTTATGTCTGTCAATATAAATAGCATATATATATATATATATATATATATATATATATATATATATATAGATATAGATATATGAAGTAATTCAATACTCGTTCATACATTATATAACATTGATTATATGATAAATATCACAACTTTCAAAAACAATGACATTTCTCATGTAATGTACACTTAATATTGTTGTGATCGATTTAATTATTCGTTACATTCACTTGAATTCTTATCTTTATTGCTTCATTCATTACGGTTATGAGCGTAACCATAGAAATTATATAAATTTATAATTAATTTTCTATCAATAAATTGTTGTGTCATTTTATTTTTCACAATGATCTAGACGTTGCATCAAAATTGTTTATTGTAACAACTGGTAATTTATTTCTTGAAAAAAGAATGAAAACGTAATTATACAGTTTTTCTATTCACAACTTATCTCTAAGAATGTTTGGAATGACAGTATTAAAATGAATGGATAAATTTAAATGATCAATATGCTGACAACAACAAAAAATACACACATACACACACAGGGGGAATGAGTAGGCAGAATATATATATATATATATATATATATGTTCAGGTGACACAGTCGTTACAATACGCTCACACACAGATCCACTCTTCCGCCTCCTTTTAGAAAAAAACAAACAGACTAACAAAACACGTTATTATATGAATCAGAAAAAAAAATTAGATTAAATTCTGTTTTTATAAACAACAAAAAAAAGGAAAAACAATAGAAACTAACAAGACATCAAAAAGAATATTTTCGTTTATAAGACCCAAATATTAAAAAAAAATTGAATGTTTCAATTCAACTAACTTTTAAGAAGAAAAAAAGCAACAAACCGTTACATACGATGATATGTTATTGTTATTACTTGTAATGAAAGAGTAATTGAAATTTCCAGTGAATTTCAGTATTACACTAAATTCTTTGTGTTTTTTTATCTTAAAAAAAGAAGAAAAAGTGGACGAATAACAACAAAATATATAAAACCACTTTAAAAAATGCTTCATAGATATCTGTTATTAAAAGAGATAATGATTGTATAAGATTGTTGGTGTTTTTTATTATTATTTGTTTCTGTTCTTCTTGTTATGATTTAATGATATGCATGGAAGAATGTTTTTTTTTCGGCAGCCTATCCTCCAACAGGAGTAGCAGGCGTAAGTAAGTAAAAGAAGTATGTTTTAGGAACAAAGTTTTCTTTTTTAAAAAAAAAGTGAAAAAAAGAATTTCGTCATAGTTTTAATTTTGGAGAAAATTAAAGGTCACGTAGAGAAAATATAAAACATAATTTACTGTATATAAGAAAAAAATACATACGGAAATATTTTACTGATTCTTTTTAATATTAGAAAAAAACATGTAAGTTAACTGGCCTGGGAAATATCAAAGTTTTTCAAGTGAACCAGTGTTAAATAATAATAGTAATAACTATAAATAATAAATATAAACAGGTGTACATATTTTTGATAAAAGGGGAGATACACACATATACACACACTGAATCTTCACACATGTACGCGCAGTCATTTAGACATGCTCACATACACGTAGTGAGAGAAACAATAACTTTTCAACTGGCATGAATGAATTTTTTTATCGAAAATGAGTGAAATTATGGTTCAATGAGAAACAAAGATGGTAGAATAAGAGAAAAAAAGCTATGTCACCTTGTTGCTTTCCCATGAGAAAGTGTTTTATAAGGAGTGGGTGAGAGTAAAATTTTACTGATGATTGATTATTGGATGTGACATTTTATTTTCTTCATAGAACATGATCATTCTCTGTAAGAATGTCACGGTCTGTATCCGATTTATTCTAAAAAATAGACACAAAAAAGTATATAATTTGATAAATTGTTATCCCAATATTGACTGAACAAAGAAAAGAAACACAATATTTGAAGAAAAACATCGGAATCTGAATAGACTTAAAGAAAATAACTTCGATTGACCAATAGCAATATTTTACTCATATTCAATGTATAACACAAAAAAACTCCAAATGTTAATTGATCTAACTATTTAATCAATATTTATTTTATTCCGAAACCAGATGTTCGTTTGATTGTATTCATAATGCTTGTACAAATCGGTCAGTGGATTCAAATATTTAAGATAATTGTCTGTATGGAATTGTGGAGATTGTTCGTTTTCTTTTAAGTCACGAACCAATCTAAGCTAGGTAATCGCTGAAAACCTGGGAGCACTGGATGGTCGTTCTGCTCTAGTAAAGGAACCCTTATGACCCCATACACATAAATTGAACTTGAAGCTTCTCATCTCACACGGAAACCCTTAACCTCTAAAATATTGAGCCAATATCCAATCAACTATAGGCCTAACTTCAGTCCGTTCATAGTATAGTACGAAAATTTCCCATTGTCCTCGGTGGGTATCCTCCTTACATCCTATATATTGCTTGGGGCCACTGATCACTGCTTCTCATAAGAACGTCAGAAATTTCCTCCCAGAGCTAATCACTGGTGAACATATGATAACTGCCAGTATGAGGTTATGCGTTAGATTCCTGAATCAATGTTCACAAGTGTACACTGTTATGAAGTCGTACACCAGAACGGAATGGCCTGTCAGTGATTTCAGGTTTTCAGAAGTTGTCTAAATTTGATCAGTTCGTGGTTTCAATGGTATTTAAGAGAAAATTTAAAAACAGCTTACGACCTGTTCATCTGTTTATTCAACTAATTTCAAACCACTTTAAAATGAGACATAACGCAACACAGATAGCGTAGTATACTATCAACAGTTGTTTAAAGAAATAAATATAAATGACTAAATCTAAAAGAATTAGGGTTCGAATGTGTTTATTAATTTAGATATGCATTTAACTTTCATCAGTGATATATTTCACTGACTTCTACAAGATAATTTTACTAAAATAATTGTATCACGTAAGAATAATAAACAATATTGTTGAGATGTTTTGAATATTGAAACATATTCTATCATTATCTAAGTAATACGAATAAGAATTCGCCATGACAAATTTAATGGATATGGCGATATGTTATAAAAAAATTGATATCTTATAAGTTTGATCCTTGGACACATGATATAGATTTTACAGTCACTTACTAGACCCTCTAGGAATCTCCTAAGTTTGAACTCCGTACAAGTGAAAGAAGGTGGGAAGTATGAAGAAAAGGATTACTTTCAAGGTCTTGATGTAAATATAAGCAAATATATTTAGACGTCTATATTTGATCTTTATATTTTGGAAATTTCTAAAAATCTGTTAAAACTAGTAACAAAATTGCTTGTTAACCAATCAGGATATAAGACACAATCTGTCGTTTTCTAGAATTCTCTATGATGTTTATATTGAACACCGATCGGACACAAAATTCACAGCGTTATTCAGCATCTGAAGATTTTTCAATGAACGTTGAAAAACTCCCAAACAGTATAGATTAAAACTTGATAGAACATACCTATGACTCTACATGCATGACAGAACCTGGAACTTATAAGTATTTCGATGAGAGTTTATCGTTTCGCGATTGACTATTTCAAAGATTCAAACAATTGGATTCTGTTTTAGGCCTAGTGTTGGACAAAAGAGTTGGCCAATTCAGAGAGTGATCCGGCGAGAAATGGTAGGTAAACTGTAATTAGGAGCTCCAGGTCTTTTTTCGGAAACTTAGCTTGTGTTAATTCATGATCTAAACTAAATCCAAAATAATATAGATCAAAAATCGGAATGACTCAAATCTGTAGAGGGTTTTTCATAGAATAACTTCCACACAAAACCGCCCTATATCGAATATCGTTCGTTTTTATTCTAAACTCATTAAATCTATGTATAGAGTTTTTGATTGTTTGTTCATTCTCCCTCTCCCTATTGTTATTTATAAACATCCTGGTTGAATAGTTGAGTAGTTAATAAGAGTAACTTCATTCAATTAGTTGTCAGTAAACATGTTCACATTTATTTTTAGACTTGTAACCTGAAAATAACCTCATTTTACCTTACTATTTATATTAAATTGTTTTTAAGTTTTTATTTATTAGTAATATAAAAGTTCTATTTATTTATTTATTTTTTAAACATACAGCACACCAACATTTGACCAATAACAACTATGAGATTAATGCTCAAACCATTTATCACAAAAATTATCTAAGAACTTTGTGACGATGTACACCTTTTGAATTAGATTATAATTTTCCAATCATCACCAGTAAAATTACCGTACTGATGTCAATTTTCTGAATACTTTTAAGTTTTTAGTAGATTTAGATTGATATATTGAATGGATCAATGTTAGACCGTCATTGAATATCTGGGGGCACTGTACGGCAGTTTCGTTCTAGTATGGGGCTCCTCATAAGCGGGCATCAACGATCCCGCACGAAGGACTCGAACCCAGGACCTTTGGTTTCTCAGCAAACGCTCAACCTCTAGACCATTGAGCCACCATCCAACAGTACTAGTGTCTAACTCCCACTAATCCATAGTCTTGCACAACCACTCATCCATTACTTGAGGTAGATAACTGATATGATATCGTCTGTTCTTAACTTACTCTCTACATTATCAACGCCTTCAACTGATTTAGTTCATCAACTGTTTGAAGTCAAACATTAACATCTTTGGATGCCGGGGCTCAGTGGTCCAGGGGTTAAACGTTCGCGCGCGACACCGAATGTCCTAGGTTTGAGTCTCGTTTGCGGGATCGTTTATGCCCACTGCTGAGGACTCCCATGCTAGGACGAAACTGCCGTTCAGTGCCTCCAGGTACTCAATGGTGGTCCAAAATTGATCCATTCACGATATCAATCTAAAATCATAAATCTCCACAACCCTTAACAGATTTAAAGTTACTTCATCTTTAAATCCAAGAAAATTTAATCAGGACAAATGAAATTAACAAACAGAATTACTATTTGTTGATTAAGTACTTATGTAAGAGACCAACTGTGACACAAATAAATCATTAGCAAAGTTTGTTATTATAAAAAAACCCATGAAGTTAGTCAAGTTGGAATTCAATGAACAATATGAATTTCTTCAAAATGTTTGATATGTACTATGAAACAAAGCTTTGTATTGAATATATATACCTTAGAAACTATGAAATATTCAAAATTAATAGTATTCTGATTATAGTCCTTTCTCATGACTTCTCATCATGGGTAAAATTAAAAGACAGATATATATATATATATATATATATATATATATATATATATATATATAGTAAAAAAAAGCTAAATCTGTCCTAAAATGGAACCGTAACAAAAACAACACAAAATTATCCTTTCTTTTTCTGTTATTTCCTCATTTCTATTGCTTTTACATTAATGTATACTCACAGACAATTAAATATTTATCAGTCATGTTAATTAACTTGAAAAAAAAAACACAACTGAAATCAATCAATAAGCAAAATGAACACTAATGCTATGAGGCAATCTTGATTGATTGATTTATTTATTAAAAATATATAATTAGTGTTTTGTTTACTCCATAAGTCGGATATTTTAAGGGTCACTAATAATTTAAAATTTATAATAATAATAATAATAATAAAATGAGTTACTTAGGTAGATACATGCTGTTTGCATGCATATACTTTATATAAATAGATTTTAAAGCCCTCTTTATAATTCAAAGAGAATTCTTTTTCTAAAAAAAAGGAACCATAAATCACCACTCATTCGTCTTATATTTAATCAATTTTTCTTTTTGATTTTATATCTCATATTTTGGTCTACTCACACTATTCACATATTTATTCAGTTACATTATTTTAACAATTTTATGTTTTAATTTCACCTTAATGTTAATCAGATCAAGGATTAAAGACAAAAAGAAAAAGAGTCAATGGATTAAATGACACTATTTAAAATTGTACATTGAATGGTTTATCTTTTATCTTTGTATTTGTGTATCCATATTAAATATACAAAATAGTTCCTTTCTTTTAAACTATTCAAACTGATAAAAATGAAATCGAGAAAGATATATATATACATATATATGTTAATGTTAAGATTTAAAACTGTATTGTTTAAATGTATTGCATTTCTTTTAATGCTTTTTATCTTTAAATTATAAATAAAATAGATCTTAATTTTATGCAGAATATAATGAAACCAATATTATCTCATAAGAAGAGAGAGAGAAAGAAAGAGAGAGAAAGACATAGAGACAGAGGTTAATTTAAATTCAAAATAAATCAAATTCTTACTTTAAATTGAGAAAAGAAAATGTGACTTTAATAGATAATGGTATAAACATAGATTTCAGTTAATTTACGGTATATTTCAATGGTTAAGATCATGAGTCAATTGAAGTTAGACCACCATGGAAAACCTGGAAGCATTGAACAGCCGTTTCGTCCTATCGTGGGACTCCTCAACAGTGCGCATCCCCACTTGCAAGATTCGAACCCAGGATCTACTGTTTTCGCGCGCGAGCAATTAACCACTAGACCACTGAGCCGGCATCCAACGGTGTTAATGTCTAATTTCAACTAATCCACGAAATTGAGCGACACATCTATCATTGTCTTCAGTGGGTTAATATCTCACAACAGACCTAGTTGAACTCCACTGGTCACTACTTCTCACTAGAATTCCAGGATATGCCTCTTGAAGCCAGTCACTAGTGAGCATATGTTGAATAATATCAGATGGGTTTTGCGGATATTATAGTAATTTCAATGGTTAGGATCATGAGTCAGTTGAACCTAGACCACCATGGGAAACCAGTAGGTCCTGGGTTCGAGTCTCGCAGGGGGCGAGGTCGTGGATGCGCACTGCTGAGAAGTCCCACAATAGGACGAAACGGCCGTCCAGTGCTTCTAAGTTTCCCATGGTGGTCTAGCTTCAATTGACTCATGACCTTAACCATTGAAATTACTATAATATCCATAAAACCCATCTAATATTAAATTTAAGATATAGTTTAAAATTATCCTTTCTATTGTAAATAACAACAAATCTTCAACTTTATGTTATGACTAAAACGTTTAATAGATTCTAGTTAAAAGTGGATTTGTACATTGATGAAAATACTAGGTATTAAGTCTTAGATTTTTTTAAATACACATTAACTAGAGTATTCATGTTAACTGATACCGGTTATTGCATGATTTACGATGTAACAATTGTAACATTTATAATAAGATTTAGTAAAGATGCAACGATTAAATTTATTGTAATAAAGAAAAACCTTTTCTATTTTTGGTGCATTAATTTCTACCCATTAAAACTTTGAAAGATAAATTTAATGTGAAGATGATTTCCATCGTAAACTAATGTCAGCTGGAGAATTACTGAAAGTCAGGAAGATTGTTTTATCTGAATTGGAGGGAAAGGATTGGCTTAACAACACACTACAAATATATATGACCTTACATAAGATCAAACCTCGTAGTTTTAGGCTGTAAGGTAATTTAATAAACTTTTTAAACCAGGACAATTAATTGTCTTGCACCTTTGATTTTTAAATTGTTCGCCAGTTTATGTTGAAAAATAACTTTGAATTGCGTCAAAATCTTATATATATATACCCTAAAAATAATCTCACTTTGTAGATAATCGGTGGGAGATTCACTTTAGGCAATCCCTTAAATCCCATTTGTGTGAAATGATCATTTTTCAAAAATTCATTTGGTTCTAATACAATTCCAGTTGAATCAGCATAACTTGGAGGTGATTTAATTCGTGTTTTATTATAATTATCATTATTATTATTACTGTTATTATTATTATTCATTGTAGTGTAATATACACTTCCTCCTTTATCCATATCGCCGTCACCTTCTATTGCACAACTAGTTACTTGATTTTTCCCCGATGTACTTTGAACAAGTTTCATGTATTTATATTCTAGTCTAACAAAAGAAGTTAACACAAAATTGTATTAAAACAGAGCATATTTTTTGTTTAAATATTAATAAAAATAGCATCCCCCTCATAATTTACGAACTATATCAGTATTTATAGATAACAGAAATAATTAGTAAGCAGGTAAACTGTATATAATCGTTGAATAGCATGTGACAGTTAATAATACGACTAAACATACTTATTTATAGTTAGCGAATAAATTGTATCATTGAATTTTGATTGGGCTGACTAGTCACAAGAGTAACTAACACATGATTCGTCGCTCTCCTTCAGTTTATAGATGCCTCTTGTTAACAACTTTCAAACTCACTAAATAGCTTCCAACCGATTATTTATAATCGTTTAATATAGAAAATAAATTTCAATACGATGTCAAATCATTTTGATTATTTGACAAGATATCAATTTATTTATAACACACACACACACCAAAACATGAAAAGAATGCAACACAAAATTAAAATTTTGATTTTGCTAATTAATATGAAAGAGGAATTTCGAATAGGCAGATTCATTTTACTGTTACGAAGAATTTGACAAGAAACTAAAACAGATTCTTCCATTGGTAACAAAGATGGTGGCTAGTAGTGAAATCCACGAAGCACGTTTCGTTCTAGTTGGAAATCGTCAGATGGACGGACTTGCATACAAATAGCAGACTTGTCAGTTGTAGTCTTAAACACCAATGGGATGATTCAAGCACACAATAAATAAATGAATTAGGTTCTCTTATAATTTTTGTCTTGAGACATGTATGATAAGTTTTGAAGCCAGTAAGTTGTATGATTTCTAAGATTTCGAAAAGATTCCAGTCCTGTACAGAGATAGGTGTCATACAATATAGTGACCACCTGTCTGGTTTTCCACCCAGTCCCAGTGTGAATGAATAATGTTCAACATTGAAGCCCCTGAGACGAACATCACAAAACATATCCAGGTCACTAAAATCACTGTTTTAAGATAATAGTGCTACCGGCATGATAGTTACCTCGAACATACTGTACCTGACCAAGATACTACCTACGCTGTATCGCCACCGGATGTAATCTTTAAAAAATGATATTAATCGTACACTGGGAAACAGTAAACCTCTAGGAACAGTCTATATATGAATTATGTCAGTGGCTTTCTTATGTAGGTATGCAGAACCGACGTGTCATAATACCCGTATGGACATTTGTTTCTAACTAGTAAATCAGATTTAGAAGTGTTATATTTAAGGTTTATCAACTTCATTTTCACCCTATGTAAAGTATGTGTTTGACTTAGGGAAGAGTCGTAAACATTAACTAAAGAGATTCAGTATGTCATACTTTTTTAATGGGTCTTCAACTAAGAATAGTCCATCATAAACATTAGCTTAAATGTGAATAATATGCGTACACTTATGGCCATTCAAATACATACAACTTACTTCTTATTTCGACGATGACACATGAAGATGATTAATCCTAAAATAATTAGAATTATTACAGTCAATAGAACGGCGGCTGTTTGAGATTTAGACAAAAGTGGACAACTTTCAATCAGGGTGAGATTTCTGTTCTGTGGAACACGACATTCCCTTTTATGAAATAAAACGAAAGAATGAAAGATTAGTTTTTCCTGACAGGTTAAATGTAATCCTCTTTACATACTCAACGGTGTGATAAGATAGAAAACAAGTACTGTTCATTATTTTGTAATAAATTATATATCAAAAACCACTTTCTTTGTGAATAATTCAGCAGATAGAAAGGCCACCATTTATCTTAATCATTTAAACTTCTAACTAGTAAGGTAAGCAAGTCAAGTATAGTTAATGACTGAAACATTGTACATTAGGTAATGATTTTAGTTGGCTCATGAAACTGATGAATATTATAACCTCATGTGTTCTGAATTCCACTGCTTACTGCATACCGAATACACAAGGTAAGATTATGTCGGGACAACCTATTCAGGATTCTTATTTGACAACAGTGGTTGATGAATTACATTCTTAACTATCAACATCCAGAAATTACAAAATTTTTACTAATTATTTCATATCTGCTTAACAAATTAGTGGCTATCCGGAACCATTGGTTGAGTGGATAACGTCATTGACGTTCTAAGTCAACTTAAACCAACTAGGTCTTGAATAAGATAATAACTCGCCGATAAAATCCAATGATACTTAACAGTAACTGTCTCTTTTTTAGTTTTAAAAAATCATCACATTCCCAACTTAATTTGTATATCAGATATAATTTGGAAGTCATAGGTTGATGGTTGTTTATAAATCTCAATGAAAAGTGGTTGGGTAAAACAAAAGACACATTTAACTAGCGACAAAAAGTAAATCATTTCAAGTATTCTAATACTACACAACTACTCATTCTCTCTATTTTTCTTGAGGCAATAGTACTAAATTTAGCAATGAAGTATGCTTCAGACAATATTTAAATGAGTATTTATATTTAACGCATTAAATATATATACCTGATGTACACACACGGATACAGAAATTTATGATTAAATAATCAACATGATTATTTATAATTGAAAATGACTTAATTAGATATCTACACTTTGAACTATTGACGGTACGGTCACATGAATGGTACAATCCTGTTGGATGTATCATTTTTTCGTCCAACGAATTAGCTCAAGCAATTTAGAAAATATACTATATTATCTAAATAACATTCTTTTCAGTCTCAGGCCAGTTAGTTTGTTTTGATACCCTTGATGGCAGTCATTTTTGTTGTAAATCTATGTTGTTTAAAGTAGTACGTTGTCATACATACCAACTTGATTAAAAAATCTATCTAACGTCTATATAAAATAACTCAATTGGCAATTCACTAAGTTGTTAACATATACTTAGTTATTGTCTAACTGTAATAAAAATAACTTTTTCTACTCTACTAATCCATATTTCCTTCTCTTCGAATTGTATTTTTAATGTCTAATTTTAACATTTATACTCTTACTATCATCAATACTCTAGAATTCGCTATCATAATTTCTTGTTCATGTGCTAATGGAGCGTAATAACTTGAACCAATGTACAAATGAATTAGGTTCTACGTTGTATATAACTGATTAACTGACTGAGTGGCAAAAACAGTATTTTTATAATTCTCATATTTTAATTAAACTTACCATGGAGCACGGAGATGAACCTGTCTACGACCATAACTACACTCACTAAGAATTTTTTCATAATCGTTTTCTTGACACATACGACAAGCATACATTGAAGTCCATAGAAAATGATAAGTACATCCATCACAAGTACCATCTGGACACAATGGTGGTAATTCAATTTTACCAGTTATATATTCACTGAAATCTTTTACTTGATACATGAATGTTTCAAAATTTTGAGTAAATACACATCGTAATGTAATGACTGTAGTTCGTCCATGAGGACAATTGGAACTATGACTTAAAGCAAATAAAAAGGATTTGTTTTAAAAAATGTCATTACCTGATAATTCTATTTGTTATTTTTTTTTGTTTTGTAAATAATTAATTTCAACTAAGTATAGAATATATACACAGTATATACATATATGCATTGGTTTGTTATCAGCGGAATTCTATTACCTGGATACATATTTTTAGTAATCTAATAGGAATAGCATAGTATGTTGTACAGTTGAATTAGCTTAAATCATAGAACAGCACTACTCTCTATCATTATTGTTATATTCTGACAATTAAAAATTCATAAGTAATTAGTTTTAGGGGAGAAAAATGCTGATTGCGACATATAAACAGTGAAATAGAAGCAATTCTATCCAAGTAGTCCCAAATAGGACAAAATGTACATTATTGATTTTGCTGTTAGTTATCACTAAGAAATGAATGTTTATTTCAAGACTTGTGGTATGGATATAAGTGATCGGCTTTAGACAGAGAGTTAAAATAATTACCAGAAATTTGATACTGGACACGTTTTGTACAATAAGAAAAGTAATATGTTGTTGTGATGCCCATCATTTGTTTAAACAAACCCCTATTATTCACTCTTTAATGAGTAATAAATAGTATCCAAAGGAAATGACTGGAAAAATATCGATATTGGCAACTGTTTAACACTTTGTACACACTTTATTCAATTTCTGTTCAAAGATATATTCAACTCAATGTTGTCTGGGAATTAGTTCGATGCTTAATAATGTATTTTAACATAAAATAACATTTCAACCGAAGGACAGTTAATAACCTTGAAACATCATAAAGTTGAAACTTTTCCAGACATTATAATCAAAGATGGTTGGTGACTAGTAGTGAAATCCGGGACGCATTTCGTCTTATTTGGAAAGCTTCAGTTCGACTGACCTGCATTCCACAGTTGATGTTCTCTTCGAAACTCGAACCCAGTAACATTCGCTTCAAACGCCATCACGTCATCCACTTAGCTACAAAGTCCTGATGGCCATTAACTTGTGTAATGAGGTGAAGTTTAAATTCGTTTTTGTATTGTTTGTTTGAATCTGCAATTGACAAGTCTGTTATTGTCCATCCATCTAACAAGTTCCAAATAGGATGAAACGTGCGTCGTGGATTTCACTACTATCCACCATCTATCTCCGCTTATAAGGTTATCTAACTTTATCTTCATAGTAAAAACAAACGTTTTTTTATCGTAATGGTGAATAGGTGGATGAGATAGAAAAACTTTGTCCACTCCTTATTATTCCTCATATTTTTTTAGCCAAATAAATAAAAATTTTATTGACTCACATAAAACTGAAATTTAAAAGCTAAATTTTTATTTGACAAATAATTGCTTAATTCAGATTTACAATGTTAGTAGACGGTAACAAAGAAACAAATTAATAATTTATAGATGAGTTATGTCTCTTAGGTAAGTTAGTTAAATTATTGATTTTGCAAATTCTATACGTATATTAGATTATTGATTCACATTTAGTTTCATTTCATTCATACAAATTAATTAATTGACTAAAACATTTAAAATAATGTATAATTTGTACTTTTGGATATGATTTAATTAGTGGCTCATGAATAATTCAATCCACTTCTACAGTCTTCTTTTCTTTCTTGTATTGGGATAGCAGTCTCTTACCGTTGTATTAACTAGCAAATGCTAGTTACTAAGCAATCAAAGTAAACATTGTACCATAAGTAGTAATCAACATTTAATTCAAGTCACAACATTGACATATCAATTTCATTTTGATTCGTTTCAGTAGTTAATGAAGCCTTTGAATCAAATACTTGTGAATTAGTAAAATTAAACTCATCCATGTTCAGTACATTAAAAGATAATAATGCTCTGAATACAATTACAAAAAACAACGGATCATAGATCCTGATCATTAAATAAAACATATCACAGTGTTATTCTTATGTAACATTCAGGTTTTTTTTATAAAAATAGAAAGAATTGAAATAGTTTAATATTTAAGAAATTTAAATAAAATCCAACTTTCTTCTAAACTTACTCATCAGAAGCAAATATATAATGTAAATCGGTACCGAATTCTATAAGAAGGTAAATGGAAAACAAAACAAAAGACTTTAGATACACCATGGTTTATCGAAAGAAAAGAAATATGACAAGTTAAAAGAAGAAGAAGAAACTGAAGCAATTCCATCAAGTTGATTAAAACAAAATGAATACAAAAACAAAAACCCATTTAAATAGTCAATGAAATTCACGATAAATGATGAATATATTTTCAGGAAGAAATAATAATAAAAAAAAAGAAGAAAAAAAAGTTACCTTATAAAATATGCAAATGTAATTTAAATTGTCTGTAGGAATTCACTCTTGAGAATTAATTATGTACATAAATAACTAGGCTGTTGATTGTACTTTTACTTGTCTAAATATTACATATGAGATCATTTTGTAATGTTCTTTTTTTCAGTGTATGTGTTTATGTATATGTATACATATATATGTGATAGAGTAGACAGGTATTGAATGAATTTTTCATTCTATGACATTGATTAAAGTGGGTAAAACAGACAAGTTATCCGGTTAATGAAGATGTTGATTAGTTACAATGTAATATGTAGTAATAACATTTAGATACTTAATGGACATTAAATTAGTAATTAAATGAATAATTTAAAATCTTAGATATATCTAACATTCATCATTTTATATTCTGATCTCAATAATTTAATAGGAAGTACAGGTTATATGATTCTGAAGTGTATAAAAACAATGTACAGTGATGTTGAGTGCTGTTAATGGTACGAAGGCGGTTACCACTTACCGGTCACCCACACCAAAGAAGGGTTCATCTAGAGGTACTTGAAAGGGAAATTCGGTTAGGGATGGTCTTAGTGACTTGAGAGTGTGACCACAGTGTCCAAGTGACAACTGCTTCAGGTCGGTCACACACGACCTTCTCGTGAGTATTTTTCGTGTTAGCTCCATATTTGTTGCGTCCTTAACACCGGAGACGGATATGCGTGAGATAAGGTGAGGTGTGTATTTTTAGAGTCGACCTTTTCTAACCCCACCACCAGCATCACTGTAATGCTGGTTGTCTGAATGAAACGCCTAACTGCTGTCACACCTCTATACAGTAAGCAGTAAGACTTCGCCCTCGGATCTTGGATTTGCTGCTATTAGTCTTACAGCTCATCAAACGACCTGTTTGTCATGGTCGGACCTTAAGGAACGATTGTTCGAGCCAGTACAGCTCGATTTGTTCATTACGATATGCATGCGCGACCGCCACGTGATGATTAGTGATACTGATATATAATGGTTCACACCATAATAGTATATGAACCGAGATTCAAAGTACAAACCAGTTATTCATACTGTTGTATGTTTAAAACGTGAATACAGAAGCTAACATTAATTAATATGACTAACAAGCGTTTTAAAGAATGACACGAACAACATCTATTTTAATAGAATTATCAATTCTGGAAAGTTTTGGGAATGATTTTAATTTTGATAAGAAGTTCTCTGTATAACCAAACAGATTTTAAAACAACCTGAAGAAACACAGTTAAAATTCAGTAAAATTTATGAATAGTATTAATTGGATACAGTTACGACATGCATTAGCACTTTCGTTTACATTTCATAATAAGTTCTGCATACAAATCTGATCATTTTATTATTACTCAGTTTAAAAGGGTAAATACACTTACTGTCTTCCATCCAGCCTGCTTTTGTCAAATTTTTGTTTACTTCTTGCCAAAAGTCTAGTGTCACATTACTGGGCACCATACGAATAAGGCGATCAGCTAGTCTAAAATTATTATAAATTTCAAGATAGGACAGTAAAATAAGCCATCGTCATAAAATGTTGTTTGGATGTATGAATACAACAATACGTCTGATAATTATATGAATAGTCATGACTCTGATAAACGCATCACTAACCGTTTCAATATCCATCGGCTAAAATGTTTCCATTAGTTAAAACAATAATTTGGTGCTCTTAGCTGACCTTTCTTAAAATTTCAACAACGAAAGAGTTTATTTAAAACAGTAGAAAACATAATTAATTCCCAACATAGTTTTTTTAAAATCTACCATCAAGTAGCTTTTAACTGCACACGAAATCCACCAAATTCATTTCACTGTTGCGAAGTGACTCGTATAATAACTTGGTCATCAAAAAATTCTCTCAGGATCAACATTAACAAACAAATGCTTATCAACTGCAGTCCTGTATACTAACAACGAGGAATTGGACACATTTACTAATACATTCATAACTACTAAGCTAATTAGTGGCTATCTAGAACTACTGTATGAATGAGCAAAAATTGGACGCACTGAATCCAAAACTGAGTGTGAACATCAACATTAGGATATAGGTACATTTAGTTAATTAACTCCAAGTAGGATGAAGTGCTCATTCTATATTCCACCGCTAGTCGTATACCGAATATACAAATATAATCGATTTTGTTAAATTTAAAGCTGAAAGAAATCTAAGGGAAATTTTCATAAAAATATATACAATTCTGAAAATTTAACTCATGCAGAAATTTATTAAATTATCAGGTCACCAATCACTATAGATAAAAGCAATATGTAATCATTAATTACATACCTTGTTGGTTTTGAGTATGTTTTTGTACGCCTTTGATTGGACGCCTCAAATCTGGTATGTCGACAAATTGAAGCATTCACGGTATGTTGATCCTTTGATAGAAATAAATAGAATACAATGTTGAATTTACACCAGTAAAACTGAGGAAAATTCTTATCATACCACTAAAATGACAAACTAAGAAGTCATTTCATTCTTTACTACTTACAAGTAATAAAATAATTAATGTAAAAGTTTACAACTGAAAATATCTTTATCACCTACTACGAAAAATACCCACTCCAGATAATCAATCAATACATCATATCTACACGATCATTATTGTAGAAAGTCACTATGTTAAGTATTGAATTCAACAAAACATAATAATATTAAGTATAGCAGTATTATTTTAGGTATTTATAACAAGTTCCTAAGTTCGGTTAACTGACAACTTGTTGCTTTGCTGCAATATATCCCATCTTATTTTATCTTTTTAGAGACATTACTTCTGAGTGGTAGCGTAGTTACAAATTCGAGCATCCTTTTTTCTTCAATGACTCATTCATTACATGAATACTTTTTAAAGTAAACTCCACATATCAACTTAGCCTGTTAATAGTTCGTTTATTTATTAGCATTTAGTATAGTGCAGTTTTTAGTGTACAACTCATTGATAAAATCTCAAACAATAGGACTTGAGTGGCTAGCATGTAATTAAAATTTGGTGTATAGAACTATCTAAGTAATTGCTGTTATTGAGGTTATCTAATGATTTAGACAGGCTAAAAACCAATTCTCTCATATATCGAGTTCAAAGTCTCACAGCCTAAAGCACTAAAACACTCATTCCAATATAGATTTCAAAGAACTCAACCCTCTTTTAATAACAATTCCTGGCAACTATATTACGATATTGAAGGCTCTATGTCACTGTATTGTTCTTGGAGATTTTAGATCAAAGAATAGGAATTAAACAATAATGTGGAAGATTTGTAGCGTAGATGGACAGTTTTGGTGAAGTTTTGTTCTCTGAGCTGAACGATTTAATCGTAAAGCCTTCATTCTTCGTACGAAACAACATTACCAGGAAAAGATTTAAGAATAGGTTCGGCAAAACAAACTATCGGTTGTATGTGAATAAATAAGAATGCCTTACTTTTCCTCAGACAACGAAACTTCAAATTAAATAGTAAATATATATATTTTGTCTCGATTACAAACTTATTGTAGAGTTTGCTATTCAATATAAATAGTCAATTGAATTTTAGCTTATCACCTAATTTTCTTGAGTGCTGTCAAAAATAAGAGGGCGATCACCACTTACCGGTCACCCACACCAAAGAAGGGTTCATTTAGAGGTACTTGAAAGGGAAATTCGGTTAGGGATGGTCTTAGTGACTCGAGAGTGTGACCACAGTGCCCAAGTGACAACTGCTTCAGGTCGGTCACACACGACCTTCTCGTGAGTATTTTTCGTGTTAGCTCCATATTTGTTGCGTCCTTAACACCGGAGACGGATATGCGTGAGATAAGGTGAGGTGTGTATTTTTAGAGTCGACCTTTTCTAACCCCACCACCAGCATCACTGTAATGCTGGTTGTCTGAATGAAACGCCTAACTGCTGTCACACCTCTATACAGTAAGCAGTAAGACTTCGCCCTCGGATCTTGGATTTGCTGCTATTAGTCTTACAGCTCATCAAACGACCTGTTTGTCATGGTAGGACCTTAAGGAACGATTGTTCGAGCCAGTACAGCTCGATTTGTTCATTACGATATGCATGCCCGACCACCACGTCAAGGTAGCATTGAAGTAACTGCTTTTATGAATTCGGTGTTAACCTTCTTGTGTTAATGAGATGTGGCTACTTGGACCGGCGCATATACGTGCCTACTTTCTAGCTGACTGACTGACACTTCAATTGGTAATTATAAATGATTTATCAAATGAAGACTATTGTGTTGAGACCGTATAATTCATTTTTACAAATAATTGGTTCACAAATTAAAATCATAAAACTATTCTCTTTTTTAATCCTCTAACCTAAAATAATAATAATAACAAATAAATATAAAATCACATTGAAGAACTTTGGTTCTATTGATCAGTATGATATTGTTATGTGCTCATTATTAATTCATCAGCTTATATTTTTAAAAATAGTCCGTTTCGTCGTTGAGTATCACAATACTCATTCGATATTCAAACTTATACTTGAAGGTCTTCTGATTTAATGAAAACCGTTTGTCTACCAGAGTCAGGTATAAGTTTTAATGATATCATGACAAGTGGAGTCAATCAAATTGATTTTAAAACATTTAGTTGCAATGACGTTACACAAGGATTCTACAACATAAAAACATTCAAAAAATCGTTTTTCGCAAGAGGCTCCATCAGTGAATTAGTGTCTTCTGTCCCTTTTTCATGAACTAAACAACTGTTAAGGTATAACGTTGCAAACGCTCTAACAATATTTCACACCTAATTTCAGATATTTTCGTGCTACTCAAAATTATTAAGTAGTAAAATTAGTTTATCAAATATTTTCAATATCATGAACCGACCTAAAAAAAATCATTAAAACCGAAGAAGCCCTAAACTTTTGTTCCGTACTAGTATGAGACGCTTTCATGATCCTACCAATATCAAGCTCAAGACCTTCGATCCCAATAAATACTTTCATAGCAAGTGAAACAATGACTTTCCGTTCTTGAAATAACTTATTTAAAATAATAAGTCCAAAGTTTCATTTCGCATAGAGATGTCTACAATTATCTAACTGACTTGATGTATTTAACAGTTCATTTTTAAAAGTTGAAGCCCGATCTCGTTAAGTAATAAATGTGATGCCATTGTTGAGTTCTTTATATGTATATTTATACAATAGAACATATAACTGTGAATTACAGAATAACAAACAAATGTAAAAATAAATTTTAAAAATAACGATTCCTGATTACGGGACATCCCAAATTTATTGAACAGTGTACACACCCAAAATATTCTAATACATATATATATACATAAACATTTAAAAAATTAAACTAATAGAAAAATGGAATGCACGTTGAACCTAAAGTGTAACGAGAAAATATTTAAATCCTTGTTAACATTGAGTCCAAATAGGGAAAACCATTAGTTTAACGCCATATTCAGGACCACACAAACATTCCATAGATACCTCCTCCCTCCCCTTCTACCTCCCCCGATTTATAATATTATAAGTTAAAGTCGTATAAAAACAAGGCGGGACTTTTGATTGTTTATCTGATATTTTTTCAATCAAGACATTGATTCACGACTCAGCGTGAACCTCGTATAAACACATCTGTTTTACAAGGTTATCTGTTATGGTCTGTATAGATTAATGATAATTTGATAGACGTAGTTAAATTAATATGTAGATAGATTCCAATCTCTAGAGAGGCATGTATCATAACAATGCTGCACTAGTGATATCCAGAAAAATATATGTTATATCTTAATGAAGAATAAATGAATGGTAACTGCTAAGAATTGTTTATGGATTATTATTACGTGTATTCTTATTGGATAATTAAGTCACTAGATTATATGCATTTTCATATTCCTTTTATCATTAGCTTTCAAATGACTTATTAACTATCATACGATTTAACATTCTTAGTTATTCTCGTTATATTAGTTTCAGCCTCCCACACTCACAGCCACTTTTGACTTGATCTTGTACAATTGTTATTTTCTGTTTTATGGTGTGGTGCTATCTAATTTGCTTGTATATAAACTGCGTATATTTGAAATATATGATTTATACAGCGGAAGCTGCGATTGCGTAGATAGCTGTTAATAAACACTTGTATCTTCTGGATGATGGCTTTCGTAGTTCTTCAGGTTTCCGCCCCTTACAGTAGAACTGTCTTGACATTTGTATTGAAAATCCTGACCTTGGTGTTGGTTGACAGTTGCTTTGAGTTCCAGATGTTCTTCAGTTGTAAATATGCTGCTCTTGCTTTGTCGATCTGAGCTTTCACATCTGCATCAGATCCATCGTGTTCATCAATGATGCTGCCCAAATATGTAAAGGTTTTTACATCTTCCAAAGCTTCTCCGTCAACTGTGATTGGATCGGTGCATGCTGTGTTGTATCGGAGAATCCTGCTTTTCCCTTTGTGCATGCTGAGACCTACTGTGGCTGAGGCTGTTGCTACACTGTTCGTCTTCTCCTGCATTTGATGTTGCATGTGCGATAGAAGAGCCAGATTATCTGCGAAGTCTAGATCGTCCAGCTGCATCCCGGCTGTCTACTGTATCCCATGCTTCCCCTCAGGTGTTGACGTCTTTATAATCCAGTCGATCACCAGGAGAAAGAGGACAGGTGAGAGTAAGCAACCTTGCCTGACACCGGTCTTTATCTCGAACGGGCCTGTCTATTCTCCTCTATGCACGATTTTGCAGTTTAATCCATCATAGGAATTCCGTATGATATTGACTACCCTCTGAGGCACGCCGTAGTGTCAAAGAAGCCTCCATAGTGTTGTACTGTCCACGCTATCAAATGCTTTCTTATAGCCAATGAAGTTGATATAGAGTGATGAATTCCATTCAGCTAATTGTTCCACAATGATCCGTAGTGTTCATTGTGGATGAATACTGACACTAACTCGCTAAAAAAAACGCTAACCAGTATGGAGAAATAAGTACCACTAAATAAATCCTCTTGACCTACAAACCATCATCTCATGAAAAAACAGTTCATCTATGTTACGTAAACTGCAATGTGCGATTCACGATATAACCACATCGAAAAAACTGTTGATAATACATATAACCTCATAATAAACAGTAATTCATAATTGTAACAATATTATGTATCCGCATGTGTACACTAATGATAGTTTAAGCAGATTAATTGTATACTAACAGTAACTACACAAAGAACCAGTCTATCTAGTCCAAATAGTTCGTAAATAAACTCAAATTACCGTAAATCCTCGTGAATTCACTTAAAGATTATAAATTTACAGAACTAAAATTGTAAGAGTCACGGATTTACGATAAAAAGTTTACTTATTTAAGTGTTCAAACCTACATAAGTCAACCTTAAAAGTATACATAAATCAATTCCCATCACCACGTTTATCAATGAAGGAACTGTTATAGAGCTAGATTACTCTCAACAATGTCTATACGGTTAACTGACCTCTTTTAAATCGAATCATATATTTTATAAACATAAATGGGTGGGGAAAAAAATCAACATTAAGATCTAGACAATATATTATTGATTATCAATCTAGTGATTGGTCAGTAGATTAAGAAAATACTGTTTTCTTCAATCAATTTACCCGTCAATCTAAATATATGTAAAATTCACTAACCCCCCTCCCACCATTCATTATAAACACACTAATACAAACAATTCAATTACCAATTTTTTTAAAGCGAATACAAATGGTCAGTATAAAATAGAAGTTTAGGCAAAATAAGGTAAGAAAATTAAGAAATAAAACAATAGAGAAAAATAAACACTCTAGAAACTACCATTATAATCATTCAATAATCACCAAATTCAGTTATTGATTTTGAATTATATAAAAAAAATTCTTCATTTGATAAATACATTTTAGAACGTAAAAAAATGTGTGTTCGAATGTTTGATTATGTGATTTTTCTGTTATTGATTTAAACAACTCAAAATGTGTATCAATAAACGTTTTTGTAATAAACTAAGTTATAAATTCATATGGTGTTGTTTTACATGTATCTTCCTATCGTTATTTAGGACTGCAATCGATCAGTCTTATGTGAATCCTGTGCGGATTGCCTCGATATAGCTTTAAGTCACAAGCTTTTTAAGCAAAGATGGCTAGTGGCTAGTAGTGGAATCTAGGACTCGCGTTTCGTTCTATTTGGGACTTGTCAGCTGGATGTACCCGCGTCCTGGACTCCACTGCTAGCCATTATTCATCTTTGCTTAGTTAAGTTATAGTCTAGAACTTTCAAATGATTGAAAAATTGTTTTTGTTTGTTTTATTCTTGTAAAAATGAGCAACATAATGACTTCTTGTTACACCTATAGAAATACCATTAAATGATAAAAGGAAATGGACAGCCAATGACTTTCAGGCTTAAGACTTAACAGGATTGTTAAACCATTGAGCCCTATGAGGAATTAGACTCTAAACCTTTACAGCTTTCAATGAGCCTTACGCTTTTGAACTATTTTGCTTAGTAAAATAAGTCATGTTAGATAATCAGTCCATGATGAGATTATTTGCATACTGGTTTATGATGAATGGATGTAGGTAACGACTAAGGAGGTTAATATCGGCAGTTTAGACTAAGCTATTGTGTAACATCTGTTGCTAGTTTATCATAGTTCACTATCATTGTCAGCTCTTCATAAATGCTAACATCAAATTCGCATAAATCTACACAAGATGACCACCTAAGTAGGTAATAAAGAACATAATAATTTGTGTGTGAAACATAATCCATTTATTAAGCGGAAAGTGTGTTGTTTGTAAAGTCATTCCTATAACTAGGTCAAAATCAATTTGAGAAACTCAATCATATATGAAAACAGTACATCAATTAAAAGTGATTCTCTTTTCTCTTATGACAAAATGGATTGAAAAGCGTCATATGATCGTGCTGAAAGCTATCACTTATGATAACAAAAATCATAATCAAAGAAATCAAATATTTAGCTCTTAGTTAAAATTGACCATGGATCTTCAATGTGGCTCTTCAACTTCGAAAACAAATTAGAACAGTTGAGGCTATCAGGACTCAGTATCTAAGTGAATAACGTTATGGCATTTGAAACGAATATTACTGGGTTGACGTCCTGGAGAAACATCAACTCTTGGATACAGGTACATCTAGCCGACGAGTCTCAAATAGGACGAAACCCGTGTTATGGATTCCACTACTAGCCAATATCTATCTTTACTTACAATAGTTTTTAATACTTAACAGATTTTATCGACCTTACAAATTATATCAGACTGTGATGGAAATTACCTTTAATTTATATCAGATTCAACAAATCAACTTGTGAAAACAAAATTATATACTGTAGCTTGTAAAATCATTATCTTATTCAATATTTACATAGAATCAGTATTATACAAACTATTGAACTGGAAAGTATTATTGGTGATTTTCATTAATTTAAGATAAACATTGTAAATTTATTTATTCATAGAGTAGTGTAGGTTTTTTTCGAAAATATATTTTCCAGTCAGTTGTCACCATGTTAAAAGGTCTTCGAAGATCATAGATACAACATTGTTGATTAGTATCAACCATCATGAAACTTAGGTTCAAAACATTCTATCGATTGTAACCAATTACTAGTTAGCAACAAAACATGACATTATAAGTTCACTTGGGAAATTCCCTACAAAGAAATCAGATTCTTGAACAATAGAAAACTATAGTGTATACGATTATTTGGATAGTTTTGATTATTTCATTATCGCTCTATATATGGATATTTAGATGCTACTTTCATTTGATCTGTAATTAGCGATTTCAGATGCCATAGTAACAGTTTATTTATTAACGTTTCCTAAAGTTGCTAACAAAAACACTAGCGTAGAGTACATTACAAAATGAACACCTAACTACAATCCAATAAACACTAATTCTGTTAATTTTATATTCAAGAGGCCAAAAGAATAAACTTCCTGATTCAAAGATGGAAATACATGCGCATACACTCAATAGAACATTCAAGAATTAACTAGAATGAAATATTGTATAATTCACACAATATTTGTATAGATTCGGTTGTCAAAAGTTATCACTAGAATACAGTACTCATATTTTCTGTATAGCTATACAATTTTGTTTAAATTCTTAACGAAAGATTTCATTCAGTTAGTTGTATACTTCTATACTATTAAGTGTGAGATTTAATAAGTCGACCGGTTATTTTGTAATATCTAGCTGTTATTTACATAAAGGATATCCGATGCATTCATAATAGTTTTTCTTTGGAGAATAATTTCTGATCACATACATAACAGTACATAACAAATACATACCAATGCCATTTTATTAAATATGGAAATTATTTATCAAATCGAAAGTAAAATTTCAAACATCAGTCTGTTCCACAATACACAGATGGGTTTTTAAATAAAGTAATCAGTGTGAGACTTCAAAGTTTCGGTTTCGATTCGTGAAAGGCTGAGTTCCAGATCAGAATAAGTTAACTGCCCCTGGGTCTCTGGTTTTCACTGATTCGTAATACGATATCAGTCTGTCACGATAAACTACATCTAAATTAAATTAAATCTAATATTATAAACTACTAATCCAGACCATGATAATGTTAAATTAATTGGTATAAAAAGTTTACTTACATAAATTGAAGAATTCTCTATACATTGGACTGTTTTACCATATGCCATACTTATAAGAAATTCATGATAGTACCCCGTTCCTGATGGAGTAAACATTTTTGGACTGGAGACATGATGAACTCTAAAGTAAATCAAAAGATAACCAGACTTAGTTATTTTTCAGATCAAAGTATTGTTCAATGTATAGCTGTGGTCACAAGTAGGTTCATTCTTAAACAATTCATATTACCAGAATGGAGTTTGTGGAGATTGTATTAATTTTTTAGAGTCAATCTAAAATAGACTGCCATACTAGGACAAAACGGCCGTCCATTGCTTCCACGTTTTCAGTGGTGATCTAATTTAAATCGATTCATTAATTCAACCATTAAATTAGTATTATCTCCACTCTGATAATAATCGTCGTGTGCTCACTAGTGACTGACTTCAAAATGGATTTCCAGGTGTTCTAGTGAGAAGTTGTGACCAGTAGAGTCCAACCGTGTCTGTTGTAAGGCAGCTAGATCGTGGATTGGTTGAAGTTAGACATTAACACCATTGGATGCCAGCTCAGTGGTCCAAAGGTTGTATCCGCCCGCGAAACCGAATGTCTTGGGTCTACTGAGGAGTCCCATACTAAGACGAAACAGCCGCCCAGTGCTTCCGGGTTTTCAATGGTGGTCTAGCTCAAATCGACTCATGAATTCAACTATTAAATCGATTTTATGTCATTCTACGAAGAAAAAGGAAATATTTTAGTGTGATGAGACGAAAATGTTAACTCTACCATTGAAAAATTATAAAAGTTTCATGCATCAAACATTGACGAATACAAAGTCCACTTCCTTTCCTACTTGAGGTGCATCGACTGAATAGAAATGTCCAAGCCCCAGCGTTATTCATTGTCAACTCCCATAAGAATAAGATCAACTTATTAATATACTCAGTATCAAAACATTCACTCAATGAGCTTTATATGTCAACAAAAAAACTGTTTAATTCCGTCCTGATGAACAACAAAAACAATGTGGATAAACAAAAACTTTCCAAAACTGTATAAATTTTACCTGTCAATCACATCAGTTAAATTATATTCAGAACCAGACGCTGTAATTGGTTGTGTATCAGTCACACATATACTATGATTCACTGCAATTGTACCTGGTTCACATAAATGACATGCTTCTGTAACTGTATGTAAACTGGATGCATCACCAACTACAATGGAATTATTTGGACATTTTGTACAATTGATTATATTTGTTTTATTAATTTCATCATATTGTACTGAATAATATAGACCAGATGGACAAGTTTTACACCTATAAAATTAATAAAACACAATAATGAAAATAAAGAATTGTCAGGATGAATACTGTTCTGTTTTCAAGTACAATGTAACGGATAGTACATTCTGAATAAAGTGTTTAGCATACAAGATCAAAAATAAAAATTAAGCTTAGAAGAAATGAAGATAAAACTTGACCAAATGTTATACTTATAAATAAACACAATTAGCAAGCAATGATTATAAGGTGAAATTAATGAAAAGGAAAGAGGTAGCTTATTAACATTATTTTTAACATAATCAATCATAAGCAACACAGAACTTAACACTTATGTGCGTCGACTTGAGTCCCCATACCAAATCGGCAAAACTAAGTAGATAGCAAACCACAGAGAACTAGGTAGCAATCGACGGATGTTTTGTCCAGCATGAGACTCCTAGGTAGCGCTCATCCATAACTCACTGATGATCAAATCCACGAAATTCTGGCCTCTAAACGAGCTATCAACCTTCAGACTATGAAACCCCATTGATTGGTGAACATGCTTACCTTTAACCATTTCGCGATACTCTTTGGCCATCTTCGATTATTTTTGATGAGCTACTGCCTGACACCCGAAGGTACTAGTACACTATCGCGAATTGATTAAAGGTGGAGATATTCAACCCTAGATCCTGGTTCACTGGTCTAAGGATTGGGCACTCACTGAAAGACTAAATTTCGTGGATTCAATTACTGGTGGGTCAAGAGTGAGCGCTCACTAAGAATCTCATAATGTGAAGAAACATATTGCGATTGCTACCTGGATGTTATTGGTTGTTTAACTAAGGTTAGTTGGCGGTGTAAATTTGGAAATGAAGAACATCATTCAAGAATGATTAATTTTACAGAATTAGTAACATAAAATAACTTCGAGGATCAAGATCTAAGGGACAGCAATGAATTAATACATTAGCATAATTGAAATAGGTCTTGAACAATAACATGCAACATCTCCGATCACTGGTTAGGCTTACGTCAACTAGGAAATTCCTTAATCAGTCTTCATCTCACGTAAATGTGATTTTTCGAAATACGTGTTTAAACATAAACACACTAAGAAAACAAATTTAATCACGAATATTTATCAAGATTAGAACGAATAGTTTGACATAAATTGGCCACCGAGTATAGAGAAGTCATTATATGTGAAAATTATATTTGAAATAATTTCAGAGATCAAAATTTAAATAATTCCAACATTTCGTCCAGCTAACTTGTCTGGAATTCTTCAGGTAATAATCAAAGTCAAAATCATCAAAGAAGTTCAGACAAGTTGGCTGGACGAAACGTTGGAATTACTAGAATTTCAATCGCTGAGATTATTTCAAATATAATTTTCACATATAGTGAAATTTAATCACGGTTTATAGATTTCATTGGCCACAGTTGCCGTGTGGTATCTTTATAGAGGCATTGTCGCTACATGATAAGGAAATATCTACCAAGTTTATTATGGTGAAGTATCTTACCAAATAGTACTAATGTTCTTTCAATTCTGTTTCAATATGGGCTGGTCTATTTAGTTACATCTACAAATTCCAAATAATGATAGCCAGATAAAAACAATAATACAAACAATAGCCTTTGAAGCTGTAGAGCTTTCATTGTTCTTCCTCAAGTAAAAGTTAACCTGAAGTTTGTGCTGATGATGTTGTTCAGAAGAACAATGAAAGTTCCAAGACCAAACCATCCGGATCAGAAAACGAGACCATTATTATTATTACCTTTATCACCGTTATTATTATTATTACACTTGATATCCTTTCTGAGAAATTTATTCAGCATCCACCCCTATCTACTATATCTGACCTAATTCATATTATTCTACATATTACGTAATTTCCGATTTTTATTCCATTATTTTCTCTGTCACCCCATGTTGACCATATTTATTCTGATTATTTATCTCACAATTTCATTTCACTTATTAACTGATTCAACTTAACACTTTATATTAGTCAACCCCAACATTAACGATGATTTGATTTTATATAGCAAACAACAATTCTCAATTCACATATTACAAGTTTAAATGATGTACTCTGCCTTAAATCTGGCCAATGTTATGGATTACTCAATTGATTTATAATTGTAGAACTTGATGATAAATTATTGAAAAGAATAATCTTCGTTTATACAATTGTGTTTTAATATAATGGGAATTTCCAGCGATTAAAAGAGATTTCACCAAAATCACCCAACTGAGCTACAAATCCTCCAAACAATCAAAATTCTTTGTAGTCTAGTCTTAAAACGAAGTATAAGCAGGTAACCTACTGACTTTGATTTTTAAATGAATATCATGTTTCCGTCAGGAATATTGCTCTCAGAGATTAACCCAAAGTAAGAGGATAATCAATAAAATATACTACGAAGAATAAGGTGAATTTTCAATTTTATACAAGCAAAATGTTTACAGTGGCAAATTGTCACCTTCGTTGCGGAAGAATGGAAAACTTGGTGAAAACAAGGACAAATATATCTCAGTCCAATGCATGTAACAAATAACTGGAGATATGTTCAACTTACGACATACACAATTGTTAAAACTTCTGTGCTACAGTTTTCCCTTTTTAAAATTCTACTCGTTTAGCTGAATAATAGAACGTAAAGCAAATACTGACAAAACAACCTATGTATACAAATATGTATTTTTTTGAAAGATTGAAGACTTGATTCAAGTATATAACTCTAGTTTTTAAGTGACTCCCAAAAAAGAATAGCATTAATTGAGATGTCATTGAAAATCAGACGTAGACGTTTAGCTTCAATATAGGACTCTTCAGGACTACAAATAAAGCAATAGGTAAGTGGACGTAATGCCAATATTATGCAAATCACACAATCCAACATTCTCAACAAAAACTCTATATTAGTAGCAAACATGACTGATTTCGAGAGGTAATGACCAAAGATCTAGTGAGAAGCAGTAACTAGTTAGATTCTGTCATGTCGGATGTGAATTATTTTCCTACTGATAGTATTAAAAGATGGCTGCGCAATATTGTAAATCGATTGAATTTAGACATTTAGACAACTAGATCCGAATCACTGGTCGAAAGGTTAGGTCCTCACCACGAGATCCGAAATCCTGGTCATGAGTGCTCATTGATAAGGAATATCATACAAGTACAACCAGGTATTTCGTGTTTCCTGGCTTTTAATGATGACTAATTAAGAACAGTCTATGGTAAAAAAAAACATGAATTTTGACAGTCTCTACAAGCTCCCTAGAACGCTTGATTTGTTGTTTAGCGTGAAGATTATCCACAACGGGATCGTGAATACTCATCACTGAAGATTTCAGTACTAGAATGCAACTGGTTTTCTAATGTCAATACATAGCAAAAACTAAAAAACAACTTGAAAATTCAACAAATAACATCATCTATAAACGAGAGTTGAATTATAAATTAAATTAGACTCTAGTAAAATCGATCATTTGTGATAATTAAATGTTACCAAAATGACTCATATCTTTCAACTTAAATCACATGTAAGTAGAGTCGCTTGTCTTATAAAAAGTTTTAATCAGTATCTTTACTACACCAAACAAGAAAAATAAGATTGATGATGCCTAGACAATTCAATCAAAGAAAGCATAATACTATCTATTGTTGATCTGTTAAAATGTTTATTTACACGACATATCGATTTTGTACCCTTTTTTTCAAAGTACCTACACGTACAACAGTTGATGATTTGTTGATGATGAATTTAATCTAATATGTCAAACTTAGAAATTCAGTACAATGTTTCTCTCAAGTCATGAGAGAGACATAATAAATTAATGCAAACATTTTTGATGTAAAATATAAGAATTGATAATTTTATAAACTAGTACATACACATACACTCATATTACTATTATTAATGATTGTGGAATGAACTTTGATGATATACAAAACATCTATAATTCAGCAGTCTAAGTTTAATGTGATTATCGCAGAAATTGTACGCCTTAAATTCTGTTCCATGCATAGGCTTGGATATTCATTACTGAGATGTCTCAAATAAAAATGAAATAAAAATCCATCTAATCAACATAATTGTGGTAACCTAATAAAAAGTGAATTGAAATATTATGAAATTTTTGGACCGGTATTAATACAGCTAATCTATACGACATAAGTTATTAAAATGAAGCATACTTCATTGCGCAGCAAAACACAATAAGCAATACTACATAATATTTTCGCAGTGTCTCCAGCTATTGAGTCCCAGGATAATATAAAGCGCTTTAAACTCACGGATAGCGATCATTTAAGATTCGATACACTGAGTGGCATCTAGAACTGATAGAATGTACAATACCTCTGAATTGTTTAATTTTAACCAATTAAACGACGCAGTTGCTGGACAATTTCATCATATTACACATTGACTAAGGTGACAATAAAATTGGGGTAGAACGGTGATAGAAATAGTATTGAACACATGCTAATTTACTAAAGTAAATATCATCATTCTTTTCTTGCTTAAAATGTATGCTTGATTCGTCAAATAAATTCAAGATAATAAATCTTAATCAAAAATTTAATATAGAAACGTTTTTTGCTTAAATTTAAAGCTTTTCCTAAAATATCTTCAAATATGTTGTCATGGTGATTATAAAATTAACAATGCTAATTTAAAACAAAACTTTAACACCAAAAAAAAATAGCTAAAATACCAATAAATATTAATAACAGTGTAATTTGAATTTTATTTAATGTAACAAATAGATTTATTTTAAAAGAAAGTGTCAATTATTAAAATAGAGAATGTTTTCACAAATTTGCATGATTTTATTATGTTATTAGATCATACCTACAATAATAAATATAACTTGACTTAGTGTAATCTATATTGTAACGGTAAAAGTAAATCTCAGCATTAATTAATTGATATTGTAATAAACTTCTTATTTCAATTGACACTCAAATTGTGATTACTTAAAAATTTATTAGTTTTTTATAATGGTTTTCAATGAACAATATTTGTCATTCAGTTGTCAGTTTTGATAATGGTTCCTATGATTTCAGTTGTAATAACACTTTGTTTCTCTTTTCATTATATGTAAGTATATAATGAATTAATGAATCATAATGTAATCGTTTCTTTTCACTCTAAAGTGTCGACAGATATCATGTTAACTCGTGATTTTTTTTAAAAGTTTTACATGTATGTAAAGTGAGGTAGCATACTCTGCAATATTTTATTTACTACATATAAATGGTACGATTTACAGCAGTGAAATAATGGTGATTAGAGAACTTATCAAAAAGCCTAGTAATTAAAGATAAATAAAATTGTAATAAAAATGTTTTTCAGTAAACTGAGTTTTGAATAGGACAACTATAAAACTATCGACACATCACTAACAACATACATTCATCCAGTTGGCACGTTAATAACCATTATTATTGTATCAATCTTATGTCATTCAAAAACTATCTACATATGGATAATATGAATAATTCATTTGAATGAGATCTAATGATCTTTCAATAGAAAAAATAATCTATCATTGAACTTTCTCTTATTTTCTTTCTTTCGAAAAATAAAGAAAAACAAAGCAGATAAATAAATAAAACATCATTTAGTTTATTATTCATCTTATTTACGTACTTTCCATTGACAATTCCTTGAACACATGTTTGACATCCGATAATATTATCATTTTTCACATTGGTTACTTCAATTTGATAAATATTTACATGATCTTGTATATGAATTGGTGAACTTGGTTTTTCAAAAATCCACTTAAATGTAACTTCACTTGCATCTTTTATATGATACCTAAGTAATAATAATAATAATATAAATTGTAATAATAATAATAACAATACGAGCAAAAATGAAAACAGTAAATCGTAATACAACTGGTAACAAAAAATATTCATGATTTATAACTAAATACTACTTGTAAGTAGTACCATAACACGTTCTGATAATGTAATGAAAAACAAAGTTTATCCAAATTATGTTGTTAAATTAACGTATTTACCTAAAAAAATAGGTATGAATAGAAATATAATTTCCAACCCTTAATGAATACACTCAAACGCATTGTTATTCGTAAAGATGATTGTTATTAAGTAGTATCATCATTAAAAATTTCTACAAGTTATATGTTATACAGCATCTATAGCATAGAACTACCACATCGTCACCGGACTGAATAAAAATGATTGGTTAAAATATTAATTATGACACTAGATCTCACAATTGATTGATCACTGGGTGGTGATCAATGTCATGCTTGTCTAGTCCTTATTAGTGCAGATCGAATGCTATCGATCATGTGCAATGTGGATAGCTCAGTGGTAACGTCTCTGACTGTGAAGCTGGGTGACACGAGATCGAATCCGCCAGGGAACACCAGTTCCCTCAAGATTACAGGTAAACACTGCTGATGAGTGCCAAGTAGCACGAAACCCGGGTCCAGGGTTTCCTGTTGACTACCTCCAACTACCATCTAACACTAGATCTCAAACGACAAGCAAAAACATTGAATAGAAATTTACTGAATTCAATTATATAAACAAATACGATCAACAAACACATAATGATCCCATTACAAATGATCACTGTTAATAAATCAACCTATAACATGTTAACATCATTTGTGAACCTAATCGGTTTTAATAGTAAGTAAATTTATAAATATTGTGGTTTCACCATCGAACAAAACATGAGTATTAACAGTTTTTACGAAATTGTATATATATATATTATAATCTAACTTTTAAAAATGATAAATGTGTTCATTATTATTCCCTTACAATCAACATATGTACTACAATGAATATTAGTAGATTAAACTATTTATTATCATCTAATGACAAGAATCACTTTTAATTAATCCTTCTTAATATAACACGACAACGATCCTGCGTCATCTACCTTAAATCTGTCCCATTTCATAAATCTCTTAGCTAAGATGTAGTATAGGACTTCCTAGTAGTACATACCCACTACCTTGAAAATGTGGACTGAACTTGGGACTCTCAGTCTCTTGCGAACGTTCAACCTCTAGACCATTCATCCTATACCCAAACATGTTAATAACTGACTTCTAGCAAGAAGCTTCTAGAGAAAAGCCGTAACCAATAGCGTTCGCCCATGTTGAGTGTGAGACAGTTATCTATCATATGCGACGGTAAATAGTTGCATAATATCGTGAATTAAATAAAGTTATACACTAATACCGTTGAATGATGGCTCAATGATCTAGAAGTTACGAGTTCTCGAGAGAGACAGAAGGTTCTGAGTTTGATTCCTCAATATACGGTTGTGAATGTATATTGTTGAAGAGTATCTTACGAGGATGAAAAGGTTGCCTGGTTTTCAATGGTGATCTAGTTAGGATAATTTCGTGATCCAAAAAAACTATACGAATTCCATAATCCCCATTAAACCTTATACTGATATGATATTGTAGTTTATGAACTTGTTATTACTAAGACTTAAAGATAAGTAGTCCATTCACATAGATGTTTGAACTGTGACCAAACACTTTGTTACTAACTACTAACATTGGATCATAATAAGCATATACTGTACCAGTTGTGAGACAAATTCTAAGTCAATAATTTCGAACTTCTTGACATAGATGAACTTTGTCAATTATATGATCAAATATTTAATTCAAAAATAGTGTGTTCTTTTTCATATTTCTCTAACCTTATTCAACATCACTTGGAAGACTATAAAATTCATAGTATAATATACTGTTAATTATACAATATGACAAAATTAACTAATCAATGAATTTTTTATTCACCAAATCAAACTATCAATTCCATCTCAGTGATATGTATGTTTGTATATATATATATATATATATATATATATATATATATATGTTTATTCTCTAAATAAAATTAAGAACAACACAAGCTGAAACTGTACAATGGAATTTAAAACATTTCACAGTAACTATTCAGTTTTCAATAACTCACGTGAAATTTCTTCGGTTTGATGATCCACCCCAGATAGCAATCATTTTTTCATTACCAGCGACAAAAACCTAAGTGAAAACAATTAATAATAATTCTCAACAAATAAAATAAATACAATTTTGAATGAATCCCAATTTAGTTTTAGTTATATAGCTGTGTTATTTTTTGTAGATATTTTGAAATTCACATGGTGTTGTTTATTTGAATCTTCTCATTGATGTTTACGACTGCATTTGATCAGTCGTAAACATCAATATGAAAACTCAAGCAAACAATACAAAAATGAATTAAAATTTCACTCCATTACACAAGCTAATGGCTATTAGGACTCAGTAGCTAAATGGATAACGTGATGGCGTTTGAAGCGAACGTTACTGGGTTCGAGTTTCCGAGTGAACATCAACTCTTTAATGTAGGTACATCGAGCTGATGAGTTCCAAATACTACGAAACACGTGTCCTGGATTTCACTACTAGCCACCATCCATCTTTGCTCACAATGATATTTTGAAAAGAATTTATGTCATAAAAATTGAGGTTGCCAAGAGAGCCATTGACAACTAGGGGATATTCCAAAACATCTTAAACAAAGCAATAACACCAAACAATTAAATTCATTAAAAGTACTTTTAGAATGAAATTACTTAAGTTTTGATAAAGACCTGTTCATCTGTAAAGTCAAACTAGAAATAATTGAGACTAATAACTCACTGGATAAATTTTGTTGAACATCGCTAATTGGCCAGAAGTCAAAATTTGATCTATTCAATTATAATAACTTAATCTAAAGGTGTTATGGTCACCACACAGTTTAAAGACTATAGAACTAATCGTATGTGAAAACGTAGACGTGGACAAATATGACTTTTTATTGTAGGAGAGAACAATTGTTCAGTGGCTGCCTGATGTTTTACAGTTTCTCAAATATGGTCAGTTTATGATGAAAATTACCATTAGTATTTTGTATGAATGTAAACTTCTGGTTTCATTCATAGTGTTTGACATAGTAATTAAAATTCACATTAAACCCATATAATCTATTAGAAGTTCGATAAAAGATATATGTCATCAGGTACCTATCTAAGTGTCGATATCCCTCAAAGCTAACAAGCAGTCATGCATACACAATATATTGGTTGGAAATGTGGCTATTTTTATGAAGAGGAAGAGATGGATATTTATGAATGAGTTGTGCAAATATTTTTGATTCGGTTGCGTAATAAAAGCTTCCTACTCACTCTTGATTCTCTCATTCAAGTATCTGGTTTGGGCACACATACAGAAGGCGTATATCTCAGTAGCAAAGTCATGCTACTGCACAACATAACATTTATATGACTACGATAAAATTATCGAACACTTTTCATTGCCAGCCTAAATCAATTTCTTCCAAGTTATCTGAATAAATCACAAATATCAAAAATTTTTTGAGGATTCATTAGATTGAAAGTTTACACAACTGCTCTTTTTACAATTCACTAGTGAAACTCAAAACAAAACTTGGTGAATAAGAATTGTGATTCGTAGTTAGAAATAACATGATTCTAGTTTCGACTCCACTCTAAACATTTCTGGCTGAAAGTAGCTTTTTACTCAAGTTATTCTATGTGAATTAGAAAACTGATTATAAAAGTACAAGAGTATTTTGAACAGAAAAACACCTTATTTCTTAAAAGGAATGTATATATTTTGACTAGGGGAAAATGGAATTCTCGGTATTATCAATACAGTCATGAAGAATAATACTGTATCTGTCTAAAGCGTTATAGCAATTTAGACAAGGTGTTGAAAAATTCTTTGTTGTGTGACTACCTTGATCTGAATCGCCTCATTAATAAACAATTAAAGTCCTATGGTGAATTAATATAACAGGCTAATAGGAACTGTTGTCTAAAGGTTTACTGATTTTTGTATGTTTTATTACAAGTTTATCGACTACACTGTATGCTTGCATGTCTGCTTTCATTCGTCCAAATTATTCTTTGTCTATTTCCACATTTGTGCTCATGTTAATTATTAAGTTTAATTGCTCTCAAACTACGTATACCTAATTGATTATCATTAATTCATACATTATTCACTTTATATAACGAGCAAGTCACTCATTATTCATTGAATAGGTGTTTACAATTACGCCTGTTTGGATATACTCAACTAACATAATCAATCTGCCAGTTTGCTTGCTCACGTGAATGTTTGAAATGCATACATCCTAGAACGAACTTGTATTCGACTCTTTATTTCTATATTGCACTAAAATGAATAGTCGATATAAAACATACCTGGTTAAATAGACTATATCCGTTATAAGTTCCAATATCGTTCAGAGATATCGGAGTTAGAGAATGGACTTTGAAGACTAATGAATTAGAATATGAGGTTTGTTAAATAAATCAAATTAGATAACTGAATAATAACTCTGGAAATTTGACACCTATTATAGTGAATGCTACACTAGTCAATAGAGTTTACAGTTTTAAACAAACATTACGGTAATATTAATGACTATAAACAAAGTTTACAAAATCATAAAGATGACTTCAATTAGTGTGAAAATAAGATAACTTTATGAAGTCATAATTTCATTGTAATGCTCTAGACAACAATTTAAGTAACTTTCATATCGTGTCAGTACAGTTTAATACTATTTTACAAATCTTAATATTTTAAAACAAATTAGTTATTTCACGTTTCAATATTAATCTTAACCATCACACAGTAATCAGTAAGTTGAGGTACATAACATTGCATAAAGATACATAGTTAACAAACTTATCGAAATTCAATGAGAATAGTTGAGTTGAAATAATGTAAGGTTCACATTTATTGAATTGTTTCACATTATTTTCTCTTTTTTCTCTCAAATTAAACTATATGAAGATCAATTCACTTGGTATTGTTTTACTTGAATCTTCCCATTGATGTTTAGGACTGAAATTGATCAGTCTCATATTGGCACATATGCATACTGTGCGTATTGCCTTAATTTATAAGGATTATAAGCAAAGATGAAATAGTAGCTAGCAGTGGAATCCAGGATGCGCGTTTCGTCCTATTTGGGACTCGTCAGCTGGATGTATTTGCATCTTAGAGTTGATGTTCACTCTGGGAGAGACTGATAAATTTCTGTCCCAAACATCAATGGGAAGATTCAAGTAAAACAATACTAAGCAAATTAAATTTCACCCCATTGCACAAGCAAGTGGCCATCAGGACTCAGTAGCTAAGTGGATAACGCGATGGCGTTTGAAGCGAACGGTACTGAGTTCGAGTCCCAAAGTGAACATCAACTCTAAGATGAAGATACATCCAGCTGACGACTCCCAAATACTACGAAACGCGCGTCCTGGATTCCACTGCTAGCCACTGTTCTATCTTTGCTTATATATGAAGATCATTTAAGATTTCATAATTAAACTTACTCATCAAAGAATCCGTCAATTTTGCTTTACATAAAACTATTATGCATAATTACTGAAATAAAACTAAATTATCTCCCCTCTATTCGGTCCTCTATTGTTGATAACATGGGATATCACAGATAATTCCATCGATATCATAAGTTATAAATTATTAAGGCAGTCCTTATTTTTATCCCATTTAATTAATATTCTCGTAATGAATGTCACATATTATTCAAAAAAATATCACATAATATTGATCTTTATCCTAATTCTACATCTTTGTTCAGTATCAATATAAATTCTCATTCGTATTGTGTAGTAAACAAGCAAATACTTGTTATTAATACTGAGAAATCCGTTGAAGTGGTTACTTGAATGTAAATTATTAGTGACCAGAATTAATTGAATACAATTTAAGCAAGGTCATTTATTTAAGTAAATAATAAGTATTATTGTTATAGTCACTGATCAGTGAATTGTACAATAAAAAAATCAATAACCTGGGTGTTGTTTTTTTCTTCTTCATTTATATCACTGTTGCTTAACAACTTTAAAACAATAAACCAAAAGATACCATGGAGAAAAACAAATGAACATTGAATAATAATTCTTAATAAAAATTTCTTTTCAACTAATATGAAAAATACACTTTCTTAATCATAATTAAGAATAATGAAAACTAGTTCAGCTACTATCATAAAACAAGATTGATGGTCAGGACATGGGACGATTATGTTTATAGATTGGAACGACTTTTCGTTTTTTGCAACAAATGTAAAAATGAAATCCAGGTTATCTTCAAATATGATCGATTTGGAATAATGAATCCATAAATTGTGAATGCTGACATGGATTTACAGTATTTATCTTTTTGGTTCATACCTAACCGTTAGCATACTGAACTTGTATGAAGAAAATTAATGAAAAGTGGTGTTTATAAAATTTCATTCTAATAATTGTGATTCACTTAAAAGTGACTAACTTCTAGAAAAATTCCCGAATTCACTGGAGTTTAGCCATTACGAGATAGAAACTATTATTTACATTGAATAAATTCTGCTCAACATTAAGAATTTTTTATAGTCATTAAATGCCAATCTAGTAGTCTGATGGCTAAGCTCTCGTCAAGAAGTCTGAAGGTGCTGGGTTTAATCCCTGGTAGGATCAGGGTTGTGTACTGCTAAAGAGTCACATACTAGAATACAACATTTATCAGTTACTTCCATACGTCAGTGGTTGTCTAATTAAAGTCAATTTGTGATGTTAACCTTTAATTTATGTCCGTTATCATAATTCAGTAATGATGTTCGACGACATTTTGTACTTGATATTATTACCACAAAGTCTAAACAATTCGAAGGGTCATAATCGCTTTACTTGAAACTCAAATTTCTAGAAAGTTTTCTTAAAAATGATTTCGGATTAATGCTCCTTGTTGATTACAGACAGCAAATTCGTTCACATAGAGCATGTAGCAATAAAGTGGACTTTAAACAAGTTGCATTGATTTAAGGAAAACTGTATGTGTTCATGAAGCAGATGCGAAAATAAATGAACGTCATACACTGTCCTATACTCTTATTTCCTTTTAATAAAAAAAAACATCTATCATTTATATTTATAACAAACTAAATATTGCATAAAATAAATATTCAATTATGTCCATTGTTATTGTGTAGTGTCATTGTAAGATAAAATAACTCACTTGTTTCATAGAAAACTGACATCTACCAACACAATCTAATTGAAATTCAATACGTACAAATGTATTAGAGATAGGTGGTTGAAAATAAAAGGAATACTCGTCAGTTGAATCAATTATTGATGCTGTAATAAAACCATCCTTAATTGGGAGTTCCAATGTTGCCAATTCATCTGAATGCATGCCAACTCCACCACGTAATAATGTTAGATCACGTTCCCATGTATTACATTTCGTCCCTTAAATGAATTAATCAACAACATAATCTAATGTTAAAATAAGTTAATGTACGCAAAAACTAATAAACGATCATTTTATTCGTCGAGAATCGTACTTTACACTGTTGTTATTATATACAACAATAATAATGCAAACTATTACATACATAACTTTTTATGCGTTAAAGTCTGAAGAGGTAGGAACTAGATTCAAATTTTACTATAACTATCAACATCCAGCTGATGAGCCCGAATAGGAAAGAATCGACATCCTCCATTTGATCATTAATCACGATCTAACTTTATCATATGACAGTCGTTATATAATATGATTCAATAAAACCATGACAAAACTTGCTTTTAGTTCAGCTATTAAACTACCACTGATTAGGTCTAGTTCTTGCAGTAGATATCTTTCGTTATACTTCCGTAGTCTTAAAACCAACCGATCCGATCACTTATAAATAAAATTTCAAGTTATCAGTAGTTATATGAGAAATTAATAATACATGTAGACCATTCCGAAATACCATAAAGCTCAAATATACGATTCTAGGCTTTAATAAAACTGTTGAAAGTATAATCTTGAAACCATGTACAAGGTGATAAATGTCATATTCATTATCTTTATTCAAATAAATTTTAGTTAAAAGAAACACTATTTAGTGTCACTCATGAGTTATAGTCGTTTATTGAGATCTTTACTTCAGTCTGACTGGTAAACTGTAAGTTTAAATTTTTGAATTGGTGTGGAAGAGACTGACTATGGAAGAGCTCTACAGTTAAATCATTTATATAATAACTCAACAAATCACTAACATTATATTTTCGAATTGCTTTGTTGTTGCTAAAACTCTATAAATACACTTTCTTAATTACCGAAGAGATTAGACTGTTTCCTAATTTTTTATAAACAGGGTTACTTTTAGATTGAAAAACAGGGGTTCATTCTTGCCATATGAGAAGTTTTAGTAATAACTTACCAAAGAAATTGTAACAATCCAATTTCAGTATAGACGGCATACGATACCAATTATCAAAACGTAAACCATACATTGGAACTTCATTAGTTGGACATGTAACACAAGTTTCTAAATTAGATAAATGCTTCTTCATACCAACTGAGCATAAGTCACATGTATTACCATCTAATGGAAATGTACCAATTGGACACTTGTGACAATCTATTGGACTCTCTGGTTGTGGTAAAGAAACACCACTATTTTCATCACATATTTTTGGTTCAATCCACTTCCATTTACGTTGTGTCTACAGGCAAGAAAACACATACACATAGAAATTGATTAACTATTTCACTGAATAAAGTTTATTTAGAAACCTGTATTATGTACGTAACAGAATAACAACTGTGACATAGTTAATAAAACTCAAATAAAACCACCCTCTTCTAAGTTTTAAACCATGAAGAGCAAATTATCAAATAAAATTACGGCCATTAGCAAAATTCAAGGAGAGATCATCATCTTATTTGGGACTCGTGTGTTGGATGTGTCTAAATCCCAATGTTGAAGTTCACATTAGAACTCTCACTAACTATCCGTTAACTCAAATGGCATAATGTCATGTTATGAGGTTATTGAATCAGAATAGCCATATCTTCTTCAATAAACATTACACTTATCATTAATTGATGATTTCACGATTAACCACCAACCAAAATATAACCAACATACAAATCTGGATAATATTGAGATTTTCATTCAACAAGTTCATATATCAAGGGGGCTTGATAGATACACTCTCAAGTATTAACGACAAGAAAGCATAAACTCTTACGACTAATAATAAATATGGAAGTTGTTTTATTTACTATTTATTTAAACTTGTTGAAATACATTTATTTAGACAATATATCAAAAATGACTGTTGTGATTGCAAGCAACCAAATAAAAATAAAATCTACTGGTTTCTGTCAAACTTTGGTGACCGCCTCAAAGGAAAAAATATGCAATCCATTAGCCCAAATTATCTCACTCTGATTCCGATTAATGAAAAATCAATAACTCGTTCTATGTAATTCAAAGTACTTTCGACTGAAGTTTAATGTGACTTATTCCGTTGACTAAGTAGATCTAATCAATCATAATAGTCAGGCTAAATATAAAGTGATTGAACTGACATCGAGATCGGATTAAAAACTAAATCAAACCTAATAGAACAAAGAGCAGTGACCTTTGAATCTGTCAAATAAAGTTCACCACTATGTTGAGTTAATTACTTTTGTGAGCACAAGGCATACAAGATCAACGTTAACAACAAGACGAAAAGACAGTTACTACTCATTGAATGACTAGCGTATAGTACTTATTCAGGTAGTTTAAATAAAAACTTCCTTGATCTAATTAGCTACTATTCATCAGATGATGAATGCTTATGTCATTCATAGTAAGCACCAATTTGAAACGTTGATTAACATGATATAGATAGTGTAGTATAGACAAACATATTCAATTTTTCTAGGATAAAGTATTTCGCCTGAAATAGTCAACAATAAATGAAGTTTACTAAAATAGTAAAAGCAGATCGTTTAAACTTTATTTTTCGTTTTAACATCAGCATGAGTATGAAGATACAGAAGACATGACAAAAGTGAGTAGTAGTTCAAGTAATATATTCAGATGCAAAACGGAGAATATGATAATGGTTAAGAGGAAAAATATGTCTGAAAGTAGGAGAGATAGATGAACCTGATATTACTAAGCTGAATGATTCAAAAGATGTAGCAATAATGAAAGCCTAAGAATTTGATCCAGCAGCCCTGAACTAATTATCAAGGTAAATGGTTTGTATGGTATAGAAAATAGAAAATTCAAACTAATATAAGACTGTCCCTATTTCCCAATGAAATCAATCAATTTATAATTGGAAATATCATTCTCTGAATAAAATATACATTCTATGACATTGATCACTTAAAAATGTACTGAATTTCATGTAACTGCTACAAAAGTTTGATTGTATAATTAGGAATATCTTACCATTTGTTGTTGATCACACGATGTCCAATAACTTGTATAATCGTCTTTCTTACATGGAGGACGTGGACTACAACTTGAAGATCCATTACCTTTAATTGTTAGAAAGTAAAACAATTCATTATACATTTATGAATAAAACTATAAAAAACTTAGTTCCATCTAAACTATACCAAACATTCTAATTCATTCACTCATCAAGTTCCATGTATAAAGAGAATAAAATATCAAGGCAAACTCTTTACTAGTTTTTAATAAAAATGATTTAATCTTACTTAATTTTTTATATCATTACAATTGATGATTCCATCATCAATCAGTTTTTGAATGAATAAAATTCATTTAATTGAAGTAATTTTTGGACTAAATTTCTATCGCCTTAAGATGATGTCAGTTTATTAACGGTAAACAATTAACTTAATAGTTGAATTCATGAGTCAAATGAAGCTAGACCACCATAGGAAACCTGGAAACACTGGACGGTCATTTCGTCCCAGTATGCGATACCTAAGCAGTGCGCATCCACTATCTAGCCTCACGAGATTCGAAACCAAGAACTACCGGTCTCGCGCGCGAATGCTTAGCCTCTAGACCGCTGAGTCGGACGACATCCAACGATGTTAATGTGTAACTTCAACCAATCCACGAAGTTGCGCCACCGTCCACCGATTGTTTGTCAAATTATCATTGATATAGCTGCTAATTTAAAATCTTTAACTTCCCTAAGTTGTTTTTAATCATTAACACTGAAGATATTCCATCTCTATCTACTTCAGAGTTATCTTTGACGTTATTTGTATACACAATATTTTTGAATAGAACTTAACGAACGTGTTCAAAATTTTTAACATTGATCTAATTAAATGATTAGTCGTTAATCCGATATTAATAATCATTGTTGCCACTAAGCTAGTTGTATTTCATTTATTTGAAGTATTTTTAGGATTGATTTATTACTTTTGAATAGTCATTTGGACAGAAGTTACTTTAATGTTTAATGATTACAATCAAGAACTATGAGAGGAAAAATGACTGGTTTATGCAGACAGAGTTTGGCCGTAAATATGAATGTTTATATATACAAAAAAAAACCTTGATATGGTGAAAAATCTAGCTTATCATAAGGTCAACTAATCAACAGGAATATAGTATTTTTAACCGTGGTAAAAACCAAAAATGTATAAGCGATGAGTGCAACAACGAAGCGAAGTGTTAACTTTTTCGTCCTACCTTAGTTTTTCCACAAAAATGTTAGATAAATGAAATTGATCATCAAAGAAGTTCTTGCCACCTTGAACTTTTCACAGTTTGAAAATGGAACACACGACAGCTCATTATTTCGATAAGTATATTTCAGTAGCGATTAGGTGAAATCTAATCTATATGAATGTCTAGAAGCAATTCTTGTTGACTTTACCACGATTTCAGTTAATCGTGAAACATTATTTATTTGTTTAAAACTGAAAAATGTTACCTCAATACTCATCCGTTTATAATAGTTAACCGTAATGACGCAATATATTTGGTAAATGTTATATTATTCATTACAAACATACTGAATGATCTTACACTGAATAAAGTGAAAATTATTTAAATGAGTTGGATCATTGATACTATCTACTGAAGAATATTACAAGATTCTTCTAGAACATCGTTCTTTATTGTGAGTTAATGACATCATGCTATTGTACTCAACTTTTGTATCTTATACTGTAGGTTTAGATAATTCTGTCCTCACACTGAGAAAAAAAAACACACTCGAATATAAATTAATTTACACTGAAATCGAGTAACTCTTTAAAGTTTTGAATTGAATCATGAATATTAAAAAAAAAAAAAAAATAAGCTGAGTTTACTTATTACATAATTTTACTGTTTACGTAAAGAAGCTATACTTTTTGATTAAAAATTCACCAATCAGTTTTGCATAAATATGCATTAAAATTTCACATGCTAGTCAACTTGTTGAGTATTTTAGAAAATCTCTTTAAATAAGACACAAGTAATTAAAATATTAAACAAATGCACTTGATGACGTTTATTCCTTTTTCTTTTCTTTTTTTATTGTTTTCATACATGAATATAAACTAGTTGTCATGTCTACAAAATGTTTAAAAATTATTCATAATGGTTACTTATATATATAAGTAATTTTGGAAAGCTATATGAAAAATATGGAGTTATTTTAAATAAGATAAAATAATTATTTTTCTTTTTGTTAATTTTTATTAAGAATGATGTTAACAATTCTGTTTATTTCATAAAACAGTTTAAAATCAATAAAATTAAGCAGTTGCCAATGACAACACAAATGTACATTAAGTATGCAAAACAATATTATCATTAGATTGACATATCTAATCATTTGAATAAACAAAACAAACCTTCTGTGATTATATTAATTTGATTAAAGTATTTGTTTTGTTTCATTGGTTAAAAACTAGAGAGGCGGTTTAGTTATGAAGAGCATTGAGTTTTCTACCGGTTATTCACATATTTCAGTTCTATTGTACCAATCTCATTTAGGCATTCCAGTAGTGTTACTAGACTTCAAGTGAACCGTACAGTTAAAGGCTAAGCATAGAAAATCCATATTTAGCGAGTTACATGTATTTTGAGACCTTATTAGATAAGTGAGTTTAAAATAAAACCTAGTAGTAACCAATTTCATGTTTGTCCAACTCATAATGAAAATTGAATTCCATTGATTAAGTCACAAATAAGCAACTGATTAGGGTGAATCTGATTTAATGTTAATTGACTTAAACCTTTCGAAAGGAATGGTTGTTAGTGTTGATTCTCTCCAATCAACTAATATTAAACTTCTTGATTGGTCTCTCTGGTTTATAATAGTTCCCTGTTGGTTTCTTCGAAGTGTTATATAGTTTTTCTATATTGTCTTCTCTTGCAGCTTTCTCTACTGTCGTTGTTAGGTCTTCCATGTATTTCTGCCTGTCAGCTCCGACGTTCGTCTTTACTCCCTTGTTTGTTTCCGTGTATTCGGTTCGTTCCTCGACGTTCTCATTTCTTGTCTGACTGTTGTTAATTGCTGTCTCTTTGTTCGTCCATTCTTGAACACTTCCTGGGATATCGATAGAGATTAATTCTTCATGACAATACTTGGTGCAGTCCAGCACATGACAATTTGAAGTTAGCACTTCTCTAATCCCTTTCCATTTGTTCTCCTTATTAGTTTCTTCTTCCTTAAGTAGGTCTTGTAGCGCTTCGAACCTGTTGCTGAGAACTACCTTGAATTCGTTGAGTTTATCGGTATCTCAAAGGAAGACTGTATTAAACTATTGTAATATTGTTTCCCCAGTTGACCGGTGCTTTTATAAATTGACTTTCATCTTGATAATCACTAAATGGTGAGTTGAAGCTATTACATCACCTCTCTTGGTTCTCATGCCTTTCATTGACTTTCAGAATCTTTAGTGACGCAAATATGACCGGTTTGGTTCTGTGTAGTGTGATCCGGTGAAACCTATGTAGCTCTGTGTGCGTATTTGTAGACGAATATAGTGCCACATATAACAATTTTGGTCAGAGCACATATATTTGCCAACCTCTCTCCATTTTCCTTCCTTTCTCTTGGTCTATGTCGTCCCGTGTTATCTTCATTGACATCATTAGTGGGTTCGTGGCACAATACTCATTGTAACCATCTTTCTCTTTGTTTTTGAAAGATACTTTGATGGTCCAGGATCTATGAGATTCCCATCGTATAAGTGCTCTTCGTGCTTATATGGACAGCATCAGTGCAAATCTTTGTTTTGTGAAGCATTCTCTTCTTCATGACCAAAGTACAGAAGGATCACTCCCGAAGCTTCTCTTTTCTGTCCAGCTTAGGTCCAATGGGTTTCACTTATTCCGAGCACCATCAAGTTGCATCTCTTCATTTTCGTATCTATTTTATTGGTCCTCCTGGTTTACCACAATGTCTGAACATTCCATTTACCTACATTAGCTACTGCTCTGTTTGTCTGAAGAGACATCGACCCTATAATCCCCGACGAGTTTCGGCTTTCACTATGAGGCAGCACAATTCTTCTGAATGGAAATCCTTCAACGCAGAAAGCTGGGCTTAAATGGTTTAGATTGTTTTCCTGGCTAGCGTTTTCTTTAGCAAAGCTTTTTCTACAGAATGGAGTTTGTGACCCCATTCCCAACCCTCCTTCTTTATCCAGGCTTTGGACCGGAAGTAAGTCTAGGAGGGCTTTAGGTGAAGTTATGAATAGAGTCATGATAGAGAAGATGTTCAGATTTAAGTTTCGTTTTAGCAAGGATATTTGAAATAGGTATGAGGACACATTTTTGAAACAAGTATTATTTTACTAGCATACTTTCTGAACAACGATTAGGATTTCAATGTATATTCTAGATTTCGGAAAGTTTTTTCATATTATAAAATGTTAACAACTTAATGAGAAGAAGTAATTCTACATTATAAACAATCTGAATTCATGCATATTTTCAACGCATTTCTTCTGAAAACTAGCAAAAGCCAGTGAAATATAAAATAGCTAAACGAAAATTACAAGAAAAACAAAATTTAGCATATGGAGAGAATAACAACTAGTCACAAGAACAATGGGACTAGATGTAACTTAAAAAATTCATTAAGACAGATTCAAAATTAGAAACACTTATCCTTGAATGTATTAAAAAGTGACTAAAATTATCTAAAGACTAGAATTTCAATAAGCCTAAGGATACACACTAATAGAATAATTCTTAGGATTTAAAAATTCCAGTTGATTAAATCATACTACCTATTTCAGTTATCTACCTTTCTATGAAAAAATTATGATTGTCTGCCATATTCAATTATTTCAGAATTTGGTTTTAATTTATTCTAAAGTTATCTTAACACATACCATTTTGATTTCTTATTAATGATGATTCTACTACTCAGAAACTATGTAAATGATGCTAATCAGATAACAGAACACTTCAGCTCAATGGTTTTAATTACTGGTTCTTTTCATTTCAAACATAATATAGTTCTTAGCACATCGTTCAATTAGTAGTTGGGTATAGTCGATTTGGTACAACTCTCTTTTTGTGACTCAAACACTTTTCATCTAAAGGACTGAACATCAAAATATATTTCTAAAATGTTTTTTACTCATGAATCCTTTGTGTTGTCCAAAAAAACTCTAAAAACCATCAAAGCTCTCTAACTCATCAGTGAATTTCGCAATAGCGATTTCGCGAATGATTGACAAGTTTCTACGAAAGCACTTAGGGCATGAAAAGAATCCTGGAAAAAACCTATTTGCACTCCGAAAAATGAGATTCCGTTGAGATATTGTCAAAATATTAAAATCGAAAACAGATCTTCAACCTTGCATAACTAACAAGCTTCCTAAGACCAATATACTAGTAAATGCTTCATTGTTTCTCAAGCGAACTAATTCTAATTGAAAAATGGTTTCAAGACAGGCTCAGAAGTATTGTTAAATAAAAAAAGAACAACAAATTTCACTCGTACGCACTCTACACATTTCATTTCCGGAATTAATTCAGTTTTAAATATTTTCTTTGATGTCATTCATTCCTAAATTATATCATTTGACAAACTTGTGTAAACTAGCAAGAAATGGATAATTGTTTATTTTTGTAGTTTCTGATGCTAATGTAAGAATGTACACCTATGTCTTCACATGGAATTATGCTCAAAGCATAAAAGTTTACGAGTGTGTCATCTTTCAAAGGTTATTCATTAATAATAATATTAAGTTCACTATACTCCAGTATTCACAAAATTATTCTTCTACTCATGAAAGTTTGTATCAGTTAACTGTATCAGAGTGCAGCGGTTGCCAAGTGTTAATGGGTTCACCTTCCAGCAACTAAGTAGTGTATTTAAATTCCATTCCACCTCTTTCTGTTAGGGGAACTAGGTAGTACCACTAACCACATCACTTCAAGTTTAGGTTAAAACAAAATATACAAGTCTGTGCCTGATCAGTATGTTAATCATACTAAGAATGATCATGTCAGCTCCTGCGTTGATAACGAGTTATTGGTGTCAGATAACTCATAAAATCGTTTCTTTTGTCTGACAAACAAAATCTACTTAATTTCAAATAAAGTTTGCAATCAAACTACACCTATTTTTTCCTCTACGTCCATATAATAATAAAGATAATATTCACTTGTGAATAATACTTGTTTATTTAGTAGTTAATTTGAACAATATTTTAAAAATAAATTCGATACAAAAACCGTGGAATTTCGCAGACCGCGAATTTTGGAATAGAAAGAAAAGTGGACTGTGAGTGAACTTTTTTGTGGCGTTTTTCAGTAAGATCCAGAATACTTGTTCAGCCCTAGTTTGAACTCGTTAGCTGGATGTGTAGTGAGCAGAACACGGGTGGGGACAATCGAATGTATTTAACACAGAATTACAGGACTTGTTTGTAAAATCTAACAATCATAAAGTAATTGCTTAATTTGCAAAATGTCCGCCAATTGTCTCAAAATGACTCAGACTTCATTGTTCATGCATTTTCATACAAATTGCATTCTGTTTCAATTCTTTACTGTTCGATCCTCTCATCTCTCTGCTGTCAGACCTTCTGTTCACGACTAACATCATATACTACTTATGTTAATATAAGTAGCTCACACCACAGATGTACTTACATCAGTGTTGATGTTCACACAAGGACTCGAACCCAGTACTTTTGGCCTAAAATGCTCACTTATTGAGTCACAATAGTCGACTATCCAAATAATCTCAAGTTTGTGTTTTAGTTTTAAGTGTTTAAACATTCAATTATTGTTGTTCAAAACTGCAAACGATCATTTTATTTTGGTATTTCTGTATCCTGAGTGGACTGCTTCACTGTTTCAGTCCTGAACAACGATAACGGGTAGTATCAAACCATTTAAAAATTGGAGCGAAATATTCAAACAGATCATAAATATTTTAGCCAGTAGTGTAAATATCAAAATCTCATCAAAAAATAATTTTTCAGAAATATAAAATCACCAACAGGAAGCGTGTATGATAGGCTTTATTGTTTCGAAATATCGATTAATCAGTCTGTTTTAATATGATGAATATTGACTTAGTAAATCCTATAACCATCATCATATTAAATTAACATGTTCATACACGCTTGAATTAATACATAAACTTAACCAATTGAGTATATAATATAATGTATGTGGGTGTCTTATAATTAAGAATTTTAAACTAATTATTACTATATGGATTATCAGCTAACTGCAAAAATGCTCCACCTTCTATTCAAGAAGATTTGTAAGGAAGAACAAAAGCCAACACATTGGAGAAAAGGATACCGCATCAACATACCAGAGAAAGGAAATCTGAAAAAATGTGAAAAAGACAGAGGCATCATACTACTGTCAGCACTAGGAAAGGTTTCCAAAAGAGTGTTGCTGAACTGGATGAAGGATTTAGTAGACGACCAACTTTGAGATCAACAGAACGGATTCCGTAAAGATAGGTCGTGCACAGACCGAATGGCAACACTACGGATCATCGTTGAACAATCAGTTGAATGGAATTCGTCACTGTACATCAACTTCCTTGACTATGAGGACCTTATGGAGCTTTGTTTGACACTACGGTGTACCCGAGAAGATCGCCAACATTATCTGCAATTGATACGATGGACTATGCTGCGATGTAGTGCATGGAGGACAGCTTCCAGATGCATTCTAAGAGAGGACCGATGTCAGACAAGGCTGCTTACCCTCCCCCTTTCTATTTCTTCTGGTGGTCGACTGAGTGATGACCTCCACATCTGACGGGAAGCACGAAATACAATAGACAGCTTGGATGGAAGTGAACGATATATACTGAAAAGATGACGAAGCTCTTCTATCCTATACACATCAATAAATGCAAGTCAAGAAAGTAGGTCTCAACACACATGGGAAAAGCAAGACCTTGAAATTCAACACAGAGAACACCAACCCAATCATACTTGATGGAGAAGCTCTGGAATAAGTGTAAACTGACGCACCTGGGTAGCATTATTGATAAGCACAGAGGATCCAGTGTAGATGTAAAGGTAACATTCCTACAATTTAAAAACACGTAGAACTCAAAACAACTGTCAGCCAACAACAAAGCCAGAACTTTCAATACGAGAGTCAAAACAGTTCTACTGTACGGAGATGAAACTTGAAGAACTACCACGATTATCATCAAAGAAGAAGAGGTATTTATAAACGATTTTCTACACGAGATACTGAACGTCCGTTGGTCGGATACTATTAGAAATGACCTACCATGGGAGAGAACAAACCAACTTCCAACTGAATAGGAAATTAGGAAAAAGTGTTGGAAGTGGATAGGACATACATTGAGGAAATCATCAGACTGCATCACGAGGCAAGTGATATATTGAAATCCTGAAGGGAAAAGAAAGGAAGGCGAAAAAAACACACCGCGTTGAGAATTTGAAGCAGATATCAAAAGGATGAACAGAAACGGAAACAACTATAAAGGATTGCAGAGTACAGAGTTGGATGGAGAATACTGGTGAGCGGTCTATGCTCTCCCACGAGAGGTAACGGGCGTTAGTAAGTAAGTAAGTAATATAACCTGTCATGATGTTGAATAGCCAAACAACTTTGCGACTACCTATTTGAGTTCTTCAGAAGAACAAAATCAGTTAACCATTGCTACTTAACAGTGAGACATAACAGCGAGTATAATTTATGGTTACCTGAATACTGATCTGCTGGACACGATTTACATGATTCGGCTCCTTCAGCTGAATATGTGTTTCTTGGACATAACTCACAACGATCAGCTTTTTCTCGTGGTCCAAAACTGCCAGCTGCACATGGCGTACATACAGTCACTGGTGGAGTTCCAGTTAAACGAATTTCTTTAATATGCAATTCAGGATCTTTTAATCCATACAATTGTTGTATATAAACATTTTCAACAAGTAAATACCATTGAAGAATATTGTGGCCAACTGGAACTCTGAATGTCACAGTCTCATATGCATACGATCCGGTAAGACCTAAAGAAAACTCCCACCGGGTAATTGTGTACATCGTTCATTTCTTATCTGAAAAATAAAATATTACCTTGACAAATGAATTAATGTTCTATCAAATCATTACATCATCTTGGTTATAACTTCAGAAATATTCAAGTCGTCAATTAAAATGAATGATTTCTTTAAAAAAACATGGTCAATTCAAGCATCTGTTTTATCATCATCCATTAGAGATCACCAAAAAGTAACTGGGAATTTAAAGATGATATTTTAATGATTATATACTTGTTTTGCAAATTGAAAATACAAAATTTCATCTAATAAAACATTTAAAGTGATTGAACTTGAAGAGTTCAAAACTAGAACTACACATCTATTCGCTACTCATTGACTATTAGTTAAATTTCTTTAACACAAATATATGTTCATCAAGAAAAATCATCTGACAGATTGATTAGTTTAAAAATTACGGATGACTGATATTCAGAATGTAATCTATTTGCTACTTTTTACAGAAGAATTTATTTATATTTATCAGTAGATTAATTAATTTTATTACTTAATAGTTTAATTCATGAGTCGATTAAAGCTAAACTACCTTAGAAAACCTGGAAGCGCTAGATAGCCGTTTCGTCTTAGTATGAGACTCATCAGCAGTGCTTTATTTAACTCATGAATTCAACTAACAAATTATTAAAATCTCCACAAAACCCATTTCTGATAATGAATATCATGTGCTCTCTAGTGACTGGCTTCAAGAGGCATTTCCTGGAGATCTAGTGAGAAGCCATGATCAGTACAATTCAAGCGAGTCTGTTGTGAGGCAGTGTCTCGTTGAGGATAAGTGGATAAATGGTTGTTCAAGATCATGAAATGCTTGAAGTTAGACATTAATACCGTCGGATGACGGCTCAGTGATCTGGAAGTAAAACGTTTGAGTGCGAAGCTTAAGGTCCTGGGTTCGAATCCTGCGAGTTGAACCGTGGATGAGCACTGCTTAGGAAATCCATACTAGAAAGAAATGGTCGTCCTATATTTTTAGGTTTTCCATGGTGGTCCTTCATCGATTCATGAAATCAAATATTAAATTACTACAATCTCCACAAAACCCCTTTCCGATAATTTCATTATGATACTGTAATTCTTAAAGAGTACGCAATTTTTTTTATAAAAAAATTCAGTTAATTCATTCGGTTAATTGGTTAAACTTTCAATGTTATTTGATCTGGTTTATGGCACCTATTATTTGGCTTTTTCGGTTATCTAGTCATATAGAAGAGATGATGGACTTTATATAGTTAAAAGTTATCAAGATTAGATCAATGAGCTTCTAAAAAAAAGAAACTTTAATAAGAAACATAAATCCATTGAATTCTTTATTTTGTACTGAATTCTTACTTTTATTAAATTAATGTTCAAAATAAAACATTTAAATCTGAAGGTCACTTTTAAAAAAATCACATCTTATTTTATAATAAAATAATAATAATAAATTTAATTACTCAAGTCAAATTCATATGAAAATTAGTTATTTTCACTTTGTACAACATACTTTAAATTCAATGTTTATATATAAATAAAATTAAACAAAACAATCGCAATATATAAAACCAATATATATATTATGAATATACATAGCTAGAAAATAATTACATGAAATTTATTTAAAGTACCCCCAAATTCCCTGGTATGGACGAGAGTGGGAAGAGTCAGCTTTCCCTCTCTAGAAATTTTCTCACATGAACACATGAATACAACCGCTGCCAGGGAAGTCCTACTAGCTGCCTTCTCGCGGCGAGGGTGTTGTTTACGAAATTGACGGGATGGAAAATGAATATCCGGCGCTTTAACCAGGTTGGTAGACAAGGAGAGTCCGCCTAGGGGAGTTGGTAAACCCTGATTACAAACCAATGCTGCACATGGGTTCAAGTATCCTGAAGGAACAAATGGAGTATGAACTTATCGTTGTTCACCGGCTACCATGGGACTGCATCTCCTGACGTTACTCCATTGCCTTTTAGATTAGACCTTCAAGTCGAAGGCTCATGGTGTGACCCGTCTAAAAAACCACCTGCTTCGGTCTGAGCACCCGGGCAGTATCCCAGCCCTCACATAAATCGAACGATTTATATGGCGCATATCTGTTTGGTGCCTCCTTGTACCAATGTTTATGTGTTTAAATAAAAGAAAATTTCAATTACAGGTTCACATATAAGTTGGATTTAAAAAAAGTGTCTTTCTTCATAATTGAACTGTTGTCTAGTCTTTAAAAATTCTTTCATATTTTAAGATAACTAAAATTACAGATAATCAATGATAAAAAAAGATTGTTCTGGATACCTTCTTATATCGCTAAGCGACCTATCAGTACTGTATACTCATTAGTCCTTAAAGAGATGGAATTCAGTACATTTATAAGGATTTATGTCCATTTGCTATAATTGATTAACAGGGTCAGAGCTTAGTGATTGTTATTTTACGTTTGATGCGCTCACATAATATAATGTTGTGTTTATCTAATCTCAGTAATATTTTTCTACTCTTACACACATATTCTGGATCACTTACTCCACAGATTATGACCTCAAGAATTAATTCCTCAAATTAAGTTGTTAGTTTATGTTGAGTGGTTATTCATATTGAGCGGATATGTTGTGGCCTGCTTAAATTTAGTCCCCACCTTTAGTTGTAAGTACTTGGTAAACTACTGATATACACAACATTATATATCAATATAAATCATTTATAGATAATGCCGTATCGACAAATTCAAAATATCAACATCGGAATAATTCAATCCATTACAAGTTAAATTATTATCCGGCTAAGTATATACGACCAAGCTGATAGACAAATCAACCATATTTTATTATGTTAACCCCGTTTGGAACTATTTTTATTTCAGATATGTGAGTTTAGTTGGAGAACGTTAACTAACAACCATTTCTACGTCCATACAACCAGAGATACAAGCAGCGCAAAATCAAGTTACCAAATTCATGAGACGAGTTATATATATATGTATCACACATTTATCACTCACAATAAAGAAAGCCAATGCTCCATATTCTTCAACTTGATATGTAAACGTTATTGTTCCAGGCTTAAGATTATGAACTTTCATTGAAAGTATCACAGTGCAACTGCCTGTTGTTTTTCCAACTAGGTGTTTACCTTGAGGTGACCAACCAGTTCTAAGAACAAAATTAAATGAATTCAAAACACGTTAAAGATTAGCTATGCACTTTAATGTAAATCAATTTATACGGAAATCGTATACAGACCGATTTACACTATCTTGGTTAGATGGCGGCCAAATGAAATCAAACTACGGTTTTGTAAACAGCAAGCAAACCTGGTAAGTTTATCTGTTTTTTAAATCTGTCTAGAATTAAAGATTCGTCCGAAGCACATTTTGCGATCATTATCACTCGTTTTGCTACTTTCTATTTAGTTAATTAAATGTTTGTATTGATAACTCTTGGTAAAGCTTGTTCACAAAATATTTCATCACGTTGTTCTAAATAATAGCTGCCTTAAGATGTTCTCATGTTTCCTATTTCCTTTACTTTTTCGAATATTACTAATTGCAACAAGTCTAATGAATGAACTAAACAAGTTCTAACTAACTGTCTATAAAGGTTGATAAGCCTAGAGAGGAAATGGAAAAACAAGTAAGTTATGATATGTGAAATCTAGAGATGAAAACGATTTTAGAAGCACAATCAATTCAGAAATATATATCAATTCGACGAAAGCAGTGATAGCTTTCTTTTGAAGTCTAAAATTAGTCTCGAAACATCTTAAAGACATTTTTAAATCTGAAAGCAAGAAACTCAAGTTAAAATAGCATAATCAAGAACAATAAGTCAATAGCAGTTGGCACATGTTTTGAAAATCCGAATAGAAGTGGAAATCTGTCAATGCTGTCAACAATTCTATACAATATATGTATCTTAAAATCGATTAGACAATCCCCTTGGTAGGCATGAACAACTGTCTTTTCTAAATACGCGGTGTGTTTTTTATTTCAAATTCAGAACACCAGGATTAGGTGACTCCTAATTGACCACCAGTAGACTTTTAGATTAACTCTCTAAGTTCTGCAAACCTGTCTTAAGTTATCGATGGTCTTGCACAGCTATGACTTCAAAGCTCAGTCAAATACATAGTTTTACATTTTCACTTACCCCATAACACCGCATTTTTAGCAGATAGTGCCACAAAACTAGTAATTTTCAGGTCATTTACAGCTTCTATTTGACTTAAATATGATGAAATCAATACTCATGAAAACAATTAAAGAATTATATCAGACAGACTGCCGAATATTAAAACATAAAGAGGAAGTTAAGCGCAATAAACCGGAGTAAATTTCAGGATTTATAATCACTTAACTCTAGATAAAAACACTTCACTGAAGCAAGATAATTTTTGCTATCGACATGTTTGAACAACAGTTGCTAAACATTTTGCCTCAGCGTTATCATATATGCATGGTTAAAGATTTAAAAAGAGGAATAGTGTTCAAGACTAGCACATTATTACTGAAAACTGTGCAGAAAGACTATATCAATGTGGTCCTAATATTCAATTTGCGTAAAAATTATGTTGATGAAATAGATCTTAGTGATGGTGATAGTTTGCAGGTAAAGAATTGTTGAAATATTAGGCGGACAAAACTTGATCGAAGTAATTACGCTAAATGCCGATTTAAGCTTTTTCATTGTCAGCACTTTGCATATTATATCGACAGGCAGAACAGTCATATTTGCTTAATTATTCCAGGTCAGTAATCACGACTGACTTTCACTAGAAGCTGAATAGTAACTAAGTCGAAGATAATCAATGGCACTCTGATCAAGTAGTCAGTCCATCCACATGAGTCTTTTCTATCCTATGAAATTAGACGTTGTAGTGACCTACTTTTATCAAGAGAACGCGATTGGTGTGATGTAAATAATTATTATTATAACCAATTGTACCACGGATTGTTTCACCGTACTTGTTTGTTTAACTGTACCAAAACGCATACATTCTTCTGTTGATTGTGACCTTGCACTCACTTACGTTTTGCTCAGTGATTCCGCTTGTACCCTTTTGGCACGATCTCGGTATTCTTTTGATACCACAAGATCGCCAACAAATATATCTCGCTACAACCTCCAGTCGCCTTCTGATATCTGGTACGCAAACTTCTTGTGGTGGTGATCATAGTCAACCGCGACTCGACGCCACGCTACAACGTACACTACGGTGGAAAGTTAAATAAGTTCAAATAAGACAGTTTTAAGGTGTCTAATGAATTTTAAAAGTGACAACCTAGTTAATTATCACGATCAAGCTTACCAAGCTACTAAAGTAGTAAATAATTTATGATTAACCTTAAGCTGTAGGAAAGGTGTCAAGGCGAGAATCCCCAGTGCGATGAACAGTAAACATGCTTGTTCGTGACCTGTATGGTGTTAAAACGGAAACTACTGGGTTCTACATCAGTGTTATTAAGAGTCAAGAGCTCTCCTCTAAACTTGAAATATTGTTAACGTGTTTAGCATGAATTAAACCACTTTTGAACTTACAAAGAGTATTATAAAAATCAGGTCAAACACAATTTTAAAAATGTAGTGCCTTAGCTTAACCTGTACTTCGTTGTAACTAAATTAAACTTCCACTATGAATTCGTGGATATGTAGTACGCACAAAACTATGAATCTAATTGCAGGGCAAGTCATGCCATTGACCGCACAGAACTGCGAAAACTCATTTACGTACTTTTTGGTGGCATCCTTATCGAACTAAAAACTGGAAATTTACATTACAGTTAAGTATATATAAGTTACATTTGACGCATGTAGAAGTGAAATTAAATTATGTGGATAAAAGATCACTGACCACCTATCTATGGTAACCAAATGCTGCATGTATTTTTCAGGAACAATGTTCATGAATAGAGCATGAAATAAAGAGGTATGTATTAAGATATCTCAATGTTTAGACTTCAAATACTCACAAGTTGCATTTTTCATTAGTTGAACTTCCATAAGTTGTATCAGAGGTCAGAAATTCTGGCATCGAATCCCATTTCGTTACTTCAAGCATATCACCTGTTGAATACGTTCCGGATGGACAGACCTCACAGTTCTGTGACAATAGGTTAAGATGCATTCCACTTGGACAAGTTGTCTCTGAGAAAGTGAAGCAACATCAAAACTTTCTTACCACAACTGTCTACTTTCCTTGGTAAACTCAAGCTGTTTATGTCACATTTTCTATCATCCTTTGGTATTTTGAAAAGCCATCTACTTCCAGAGGTATCACAACTTGTGCTTTTTATTTGTAAGTCACTCTATAAAGATAAATTATAAGTATGTATGACAAGTACTTCTCGACATGATTGTGTATAAATAAAGCTTATAAAGAACGAAAGAAATATAAAGCATGAAGGCATCATTGGACAAATAAACGCTCATTTATGTTTATCAGTATGTAAATAATTAGAACAGTGAAACAAAAGCCGTAGTTTAAAAAAGACGTACAGTAAATACTTAGGATAAATCTTTAGAAATACATATTTTAAATATCCAGTTAATTATCGTCATTAACTGTTTTTTGTAGTTGGCTTCGAGGACTGGAAACAGAAAAGGCCCACTGGGGTCTTCTCTGTGACGAAAGCCTGAAAAACTTATTTCTAAAATGAACGTAAACGCTGACATGATGAGAGTTCGAAGAATGCTGGACTTAATACTTTTTCGTTTAGTGATAACGTTTTATTTCATCAAAAGAAATCCCAAAATATTCTAGTCATATTCAAGTGTAAGTTATTCACTTTAAGTAATTTCTTGACCACTCCTACTGACCAGTAACAAAGTTTTTGCTCTTCAATCTTCCAAGAAGTAATTATACTCTCCCACATATAGGCGATATCTCTTCAGATTTCTACACTAATGCCAATGAATTATCGCCCTGAAATTTCCTCAAAATGACTGAAGTTAAATCGTTGCTTCGAACTCGGTTGTTTACAAACGATGTGTCGCTCTCAATTTCATTGTCACTTAGTCTAGATGACATGAAATTCCACCTCTTGTCTTGTAGGGCCAGTGAAATGTCACTGATCCCTAGCCAAATCATCCGGCAGTTGGATCACTGAATCTCGAACAGATCGTCGCTCCCTGCCAAGGTCATGTACAACCAACGCGCATTAGTTAATGGTATGCCATGGACTGGCCCATGCAGCAGTGGTCTTACTTTCGCTTGTATCTACTTTAACTAATATATTTCTGTAATAACGTCCTTTGTGTTGTACAGTCTTCAAAGCATCTATAGTACCTTGTTACGTCAATGGGGGTAGTCCACGTAAGGTGCTGACCACGAGGTGTGACTTCGACGTTAGCTGGTTTGTCACACCATTCACGTCTAACTCGAGTAGGCCTCCAATCATTTCGACATAGATCATCTACGTTGGTGATCTACACTGGTGAGCAAGACTTCGAATAACGCAACCCATCACTATAATCTTTATTATTGCATTCTATACTTATTCTTTTTCATTTTTATTATCGCCTATGTTAATCTATCACTGTGAACTTTCGTTGCTTCATGTCAATCTTGATTAGTATTTAAACTTAAATACTTAGTTCAATCGACAGAACTAACCAATCAACTACGATTATAATCGGCTATCGTGGTTCTTTAACAAGCATTAGCAGCATGTAAATGCTCCTGTGTAATATGTCTGTTAAAATATCAACCACCCGTGAGTATAGCCACAAGGCAACACGGACGCACATCTGTTTGTAACTTATCCACTGGTATAAATAAGACAAGATTAACTATCGACCATAAATTCATCTTTCTACTTAACCACTATCCACTAGAATGTTTTGCTTTTTTTACCACTGCCTGCCTAATTTCCAATTGCTGAGTTCCATGGCCAAACAGAGGATACGAATGCTAAAAATTTACGGTGAGTTTGAACTATAAATTTCCTGCGATCTTATATCTCGTTTAGACTGTTCGTCAGGTAATGCTATGTATTCGGCTTACATTAATTCTGGACTTATACAAATTCAGTCTACAACGCTGTGTTAATCGAAAAATTTAATCAACAGTACCTCGTACATAATCCAGATTCAAACTACTGCCTACTTCATTACTTAAAGGCAAGAGTAACCCAGGCGAGTTTCATAATTTCATTAGATTATTTCGTACTATATTTATGATGCGTGATAACATTTCGTAGTTACTTTCATGTAAAGTAGTCATATATTCTGTCACTGCCGTCAAGTTTTAGTCGAAATCATGTACATTTATGACTCGTTAGTCGACATACTGTGGTAAAACATATTGCATGTACACGAGCACGCTTAGTCCATGTCCCAAGTACACACGTTGTCGTACTTAATATGTCACTTAACGCTAGGTAATAAGCTCTTTGTATCAGACTTTTACGAAATGGCCACGTTACCTGGACCCTCTAAACCTTAGTTACATTGGTGGTTACCATTTTAATTAATGTTTATTATACCCCTTGTATTTGCTATTAATTCACACGGTAAATCACGGCTCGATTTCCTTATTACACGACAGTCATTTCAATTCTATTTTCGGTTTATTTACATGCCATACGGGTTTGGAAAATATCTAAACGTCCTCGAAAATTCTCCACGAACCCAACCATAGTTTTCGTATATGTTTTTATTCACACATCCAACTGTTACGCTAATCATACCTAAACGAACGTTCAGTGCAACTGTCAGTATACGTAAGAACGATGTTATTTAGACTTGACATTGTAACACATCTGAACTATTGTAGTTGTTCTACTTCGATGTCGTACTTCATTTTATGAAGTATTGTTTCCTCGTGGCTGTTATTTAATAGATGATTCCGGTACATCAATCGGCTGTTCAACTACTCGACGATTTACAACCTGTCCAGTTCAATTGATGGTCTGACGACAATATCATCTGCGCGAATTATCAGTTTATGCAGTCGAGCGAATCTCCTGCAAACTGAAAACGATATTGTCGCCTCTATCCCAACACTGACAGAGTTTTTCACGGGTATCATTGACATGAGTCCAGAGTGACACTCTTGGTTTCTTATGTTCTTTTCGATATTTTTCTGTTCACTAACCGAACAAACACGCAGCACTCACCGTTTATCATCTTTTAGAGACTTCATCGTGCCACCTTTGCTGTCGATTTGTAGCCTTCAACCCTTACTGACTGTAACAGCAGTCATCGACTTTTCAAACTCTGACTACAAGTTGGTCAATAGCTTCGCACAACGAAATCACGACAACTCTTCACGGTTATACTTCTGTACTTACGGTTAGTCTGTTAGATATAGATATAACTAGAATTCGACACTAATTAATAGCTGTCAACGACACTGTCCGACTTACAACTTTAAACTAATGACAGTACAAATATGGACATCGATTGATAATACACTTATCCTACTATCGCTATAGCATCATTACTCTTGCGGCAGACTTAACGTTTGTCATCGGAGGAACTGAATTACTTGTTAAGGCTATATATTTCAGCGCGACTTGATAGAACAATAAAACGTTTTGTTCTTTTCATTATTTCTATGGTTAATCAATTTACTTTTAAGCAACGTCCTACTAACATATTATGACTCGCTGTTTCTCGACCAGTTTCTGCCGCCTCCTTTCCATTTGTTTTACAGATAAGCAATACCTGGAGAATTTATAATATTCGTTTGGCACCCTCCGGCAGTTGGATCACTGAATCTCGAACAGATCGTCGCTCCCTGCCAAGGTCACGTACAACCAACGCGCATTAGGTAATGGTATGCCATGGACTGGCCCATGCAGCAGTGGTCTTACTTTCGCTTGTATGTACTTTAACTAATATATTTCTGTAATAACGTCCTTTGTGTTGTACAGTCTTCAAAGCATCTATAGTACCTTGTTACGTCAATGGGGGTAGTCCACGTAAGGTGCTGACCACGAGGTGTGACTTCGACGTTAGCTGGTTCGTCACACCATTCACGTCTAACTCGAGTAGGCCTCCAATCATTTCGACATAGATCATCTACGTCGGTGATCTACAGTCTGATCGTATATATCTATGATTTCCGAAGTTGTAACTCAAACCTTTCCGTATTACATTCAGGCATCACCAAATAACCCTAGACAGGATGATGTTTTTGTTTGTATTTATCGAGATTGACGTTTTTGGATAAATACATTTGATCGCGTTAAAACCTGTTTAAATATAAACGATGCAGGGTGGGGTCAGGAGAATTATGCTGATCTTGTTCTATCAATCGTCCTCATACCTATCGATAGCTTTAGGTGCAAACTTGACAGCTTGGTAGCAATATCATTTGATTCTATGGCGTCAGTAATTCAAAATGTATGGATTCCAAGGGTAGCGGACAGTAAATGGTCTGAAGTTCTGGAGAATCAGACTTTATTCAGCAATTCTACACAAACTACAAAGACTCATGTCGTTGCTCAAGTAAAGAGACACCGAAAACCCTGATGAACTAGCCTTCTTAACTATCACATAGTAGGATACCTCAGTTCTTTTTAGTGTTGGGAAATGTGACATCATAATCATTAGGTACGATTTAATTTTATTACGTCTTGATGAAACAGCTGTCTGTGACATTATTTGTTCGTTTAGTCTGATCTGGCAATCGAGAATAGTTAACCTCGTTGTATTGCATTCACAACATGAATGTGGATTCCCTTGCCGTGAAATCTGATCATCCGACTGATATTCTCTGTTAAGTAATACAACCTTATTTGACTGCTTAACAAGCAGATTATGAATTGACCAGACAATGGCAGTTTCAGTGATATAACCACCACATCGGTGTTGATAACTACTGTTCACATCCACTCAAAATATTTGGGTCACTATCAACGATGAAGACCATCAGAACTATTGTTTTGAGGGAAGTTTTTTGTCGCTACATATTCCAGCAACTTTGGATAGACAAAAGTTTTTCATCAATAAACGTTACATTCTCATATTCACCAACCGCAAGCTTAATGCGTGAAGAATCTCAAAAAACTTATTTATCCCGGATAAAATTCCGATTACTTTTCAATTGAAAATTTTGGTGTGAAAAGTTGACTATTCGGTATAACTTGTTGCCTTTTTGATTACACTGTAATTCAATGTACATGTTTTCAAGTTGTATTCGTACTTCTTGAATTAAATCCCGAATGATTTGTCTTGGGTTCAATGACATTTCATCGGCAATACAAGTTGAACGTACACTGAGAAAAATGATCTAAATTTATGTGCAAATCAATTTATTTTGTTAACTTCTCAATTTAATGTGACATGTTGAAGCTGAAGCTACGGAAATCAGAGATAAGTTATTGATTATTGAGCATGCTTTGTTCGCTTAGAAAATCAAGGTAGAGCTGTAATTAGAAAGCCCCTCACTGTTCGAATGAGAAAACAATGCTCACTGGATTTAATTGGATTATTGTTTTAATGGTCATTCTTATTTATTGTTTGGGCGAGTACATATCACTAGTCAATGGATTTAATATCGATTTAAAATCTCCACTCCTCAAAACTGGACCAGATGGTTCTAGTTTTGGTTTTTCCTTATTGGGATATACTCACTTTTCAGGACAGAAAGGGTATATCACTTCACCTTTTCATATTTTTCTGTTTATATAGGGTGGTCATAGGATCTCCAACAGAGGGAAACAACGGTGGACTGTTTTGGTGTCCACTTCTGAGGAGCACGTGTAGTCGAATCGATATTGATCTAGAAAAAGAGACTCATATGCAACCTGGACTAAATGGAGCACTTTTAGGATATTCAATGTCTTCAGCTTTTAACAACAGCCTGGGACCGATTACTGTAAGTTAGCTGAGAGATTCTCTTTACTTTATTTATCCCTTTTTCCTTACACCATCAAGCAGTTCAAAAGTAATCCAAGTCGTTTGAAACGTGAAATATAACAAGATTTATTTACGAACTATTTAAAAACCGTAAACGTCCGGTCATATTTTTATCGTAAGGTCATTTATCCTCAGAACTCTCAGTTTTTATACTCGTTTCATGTTTGCCAGACGTGAGAAAGAGATATCTCATCATCTCATAAACAACTCAGACTTCCTTATTATTTCACACCTGGACTGGTTATATCTGATAAGCACACGTTCGATAACATCGTGTTAAAAATCTTTTGCCGATGTTTCACATCCTAAATTGGGTTAACTTCATAAATCACAAGGACTTTGGTAATCTTTGCCATCACGAAGTGATGGGATCTCTAAAATTTATTAATGAGTCTGCCAAAATGTGCCTAGTTAATGAATTACAGGTTTACAGTCACCTAAGTGTAGAATTGTGGTCTGAACAAAAGTTAAAATCGTTGCGTATATAAGTGATTTGGAATATGGTAAAGTACTATTCTTCATAATTAACATGGTGGTAAAAAGGTTGTTGCAAATGACCATATGAAAAAATTTCTTCGTAAAGATGCCAGATAGAAATGTAAAGATCAGAGTTTCTGTCAAGGTTTTTTTTATTTTCTAAGAATTCTTTACACATAGAAACACAAATTTGTAAACCAATTCTAGGTCTAAATATTCCTACAAGCTCTTGAATATGATTTTCTTTATCAGTCCATACCCTTATATGTGTTATACTTACATAAAATGTTTAAGAAAAACCGTGTTTTTAACAAGATATTAAAAGTTCACCTTGTAGGTTTTTTTGATTTCAACGACCGTTTTGCTATTGAAAACTGCATATTAGACTTTGTAGTCCAACAATGACTACACTTACCGTGATACATAATTGTTTTCAACCATTTATTGCCAGTAGTTGGTAACTGATGTACTGTTTAATAGCTCTACACTGTCAAAAAATACGTTTGATATCTTGAGTTCTTCCGTTAGAATACATTCGAAAGCTATGTGCATAATAGACACCAGAGTAATTTGTAAATAAAATACAAATAAACTGGGATTTTTTTGTCAATGTTTTATGTTGCTAATGCGGTTAGACAGAAGAATCCAGATGCCTTTGATGATGATTAAAAATATTCACATATATTAACGGAATTGTTAAATCGTGCTTAATATAGACACAAAATATGATTTTTACTAAAATTTTAGAAAAATAAGGTATATAACATCTTAATTCATTCAATCAGGTTAGAATCTCACTCTCGCTTCATACCAGATACGTTAAAATTGCGCATAGAACAAATACAGATCACCTAGATTATTGTAACGTAACTACCCAGTTGTCAATATTATTACCCGTGCTACTATTTTTGTGAAGATATCAGATTATGTCATGTAAAACATATTTACTAGTATTGGTTGAAGAAGTGTTACACCTGAATACATTTTTTAATAAAATGCTGCACTGTAAAAAGCGAGTGATAAAATAAGTCATAATTGGTTGTTTTTTTAATACAACAAAAACTCATTGGTTAGTTTATTTAATTCAAGTTTAGTCACATTCATTAGGAATCTCTATTATGAAACTAATCAATGATTGTTCCTAAATGAATTCATGAAAATGTTTTGGTTTGGGTTCAAGCAGAGGTTATGGAGCAAAAGATCAAATACATCCATTTGGCCAGCTACCATGTAATGTCCGAATTGTCTGGTACACACCAACAGTGGTTCAGCAGACCTAAATAGATGCTGTATTTTGTGTACGTATACGCATTTTTTGGTAGAAAAATGGCATAGTTGTAAATCTATCTTATCTACATTTGTACAGCGTTAGCGGTTGTCATCCCGCACATTACTGACGACATCCTTTTTGTGTGAGTAAAATCCAAATAAGCCCGACATATAGGTTTAGTATACGTATCTTGTCGATTCCCCCTAACTTAGAAGAATATTGGACACGCGGTCAATCGTACAATGTCATTTTCACTTCCTAATGACATTATAGAGTTATCCTCTTCAATCCAAGACGTTCCAAAAATTTCTAAGTAGTTTTATTTTGGAAACACTATGTAAACATACAGTGGTCAGGAGCACTTTTTATAGTCATTATCTTAAAATCTATTGGCTCATCACAAAATAACTTGAAAAATTTCACTAAGAGAATGTTTAAGCCACTAATTTAGTAATAACTCCAGTAAAATATATATGCGTCTACTGGTCTTAGTTTTTTGCCCACAGAATAAGATCTCAATTATGATTTAAATGTTAAGTAAGGTTGCTTTTACTAAGACAATTGTGAAAAGACGAATAATTACTTTAATGGCCATTTCAATTGAATTACAGAATAATGTTTGAAAATTTTGTTGACAAATAAGTTTTTTTTTATATGAAACTTGACAAGCATAGGGAACTGCACTGAAAAGAGTGCTTCTCTGTGTGTGATATGGAGAATGTGATAATGTAACGAAACAGTCCTATGGTGAGTAAATGGGAGTATAAAAAATGCAAATTTAGAAAACATTCCGAAATAATTTACATTCTAAGCTGATTGGACCGAATTGATGAATAACTATTTTTAAATGTTTCAGGCTAACCTTAAACAAATTTATTCGAAGGTTTGTATTTGAAACACAAAGTACTGTGTCTGAATCCTACTGTAAATACTAAAACTAAAATGCAGGGATATTCTGCTGATGAGTCACAAGTAGGTCAAAATATGCGTCCCAAACTCCTATGCTAGTCACAATCTAAATGATTCTATACAAGTGTTCATTAGTTGCTGATTTTTCTTTGATTATATCAGTCAGTAATAACTTGTCTGTAGTCTGATGATCTTCAGCACTGATCTAACAATCGACATAGCTCACCATGTTAGAAGCAATTGTTCATAAATTGTAGAGCTACCGAGTAGAGTTAGTAAAATTTCAGAAAAGTATGAACCGGAGTCAATTATTGACCTACGTATATAAAATTTACTTGGGTACCATAGTTGCAAATTCACTCTTCAACACCTGGGTCCGATGCTGAATGAAGTAGGAAGAGACTGGGAAAAATTCAACTACCACAGATGTTGGCTAAAACCGTTTCCTCTAGTTGGAACCAAATAGAATCATAATACATTTATATCAGTTTTCTGAATCCTTTTATTGGTGTATCGGACTGTAACTGATAAATTTCTTTCGGCAGATATGCATCCTGTATGAGTTGCTGTAATATTATCATGAGGTGATGAGCATTTTAAACACAGACGAATAGGGGCTGGCACATAAACCAAAAGTAACCCATTAATTGCATACCTAAACATCCATGGGAAAATTAAAACAACAATTGTATATGAATTGAAATTAAAATTCACCTGAATGCACAAAATGGTGGCTGCCTGGGCATAGTGGCTAAATGGATAGCACAATGACTTTTGAAGCAAAATTTACTGGGTTCTAATTCAAAAATGGTCATTAATTCTGGGATGCAGGTACACTCAGCTGATGAATCAGAAATGCAACAAAAAGCGCATCCCGGATTTTACTACTAGTCACCATCCATCTCTGCTTAAGAAATAGAACCATGTTGGATGAAATGAAACCAGAAGAAATACTATGACTTATCATGAATAAAATATTATAGTCCAGTTACTTATTTCCCTATTAGAGCGTTCAATGTGTTTTATACATCAAAAATAACAAATCAGTCCTTTAAATAATCCGTTTGATTAATAAAGTCTCATTTATCTTAGTATTCTTTCTATCTTAATCCCAACTGATAACAATTTATAATCTAATCAATGGTGTCATGCGCCTGTATTCAATCACTTGGTTATAACAGCTATTAGTTAATACTAATACTAATGATTCTAAAGTTTTGCATTTTTATTTAAAACAATGTTATTTTCTTTTTATCTACTCAAGTCTAAGTAACACACAATCAGATGGATTTGATTTGTATGAGTAAAAAAAAAGTGTTTGGCTGCCCGAAGAATATACTTGTATCTACATACATAAGCCAGTATGTACATACACAGAACATAATATAAATCTGCTCATCTAATGAACGTTTACCTGTTATTGAACAATTGAGCAGATATGTACACACATATATATACACACTTTGAATACATTTTTTCGCTTATTTATATGTATATTTAAAGAATGAGTAATTGTTAGTACATTGAAATATATGAGAGATTAATGTAGCAGCATTTATTTATACTTTTGTTTAGTATTCTTAACCATTTAAATTAAAAGAAAAATGTAAGAACAAATAATAATAATAATAATAATAACAATAATAGCCTTGAATAATAAGTTATGAGTCATTCATTATTGACTTTAAGTATTTGACTTGTTTTGTTGTTTGTTTGTTTGTTTTTTTAAACTTAAACCATTGTCCTGCCAACTAAGTTTATCCATTTCTGTAGAAACTGCTACATATTCCAGTTCAATCCGAACAAGCTATATATATATATATATTCACATGGAAACAAATGTGTTATTATGTTTTTATAGGTACACAACAAGTATTTTATGTTTAATTCACATTTCTAAATGATGTATTCTATTGATACCCTTTACGAATCTGTTGAAATCATGAATTGTTTTTTTTACAATGTCTATTTTAATTATAAAATGAGATAATTAAACAATTAGAAATGGTGTAGAAATTATCTGTTCTACTGATTGAACTTTATCCTTGGTTTCTAAAAAAAATTACAAATTCTCAATTTCGATTTTGATGTTTTTTTTGGACATTTGTTTAGATCTTTATACAGATCTAAACCTGATTTCATATGTTGAAACATTTTTAAAAAATTGTAAACAGTGTAATTTTTATCGAATAGAGCCAAATTAGTAAGATTGCTATAAGATACGTTTCTAGATTTTCATTACAATGTCAGTACAGTTGAGAGTAAGGCGGACGCCCACTTATAATGCTGTACCAAGATTAATA